TGTTCTTACAATCCTCTAATTTTTAATTATTTCCTATATCCCCTTTTTTTTCCTTTAATTTTAATCATAATTTATGTTAGCAAATAGCTGCTAATCTTCAATAAATAAATAAATAAATGTTAGTGGGAATACTCACTGGTCACTGTCTGAATGCAACACACGCAGTTACACTAGGCATCACCAACAGTGGTAACTGCAGGAAATGCGATGAGGAAGGGGCTATCGAAACCCTGGAACACCTTATGGAGCTGCCCGGCGCTATCAAGGGCAAGGAGAAAATACCTGGTTACCCCGGTGATGGCATCACTGGAAGAGACCTCTATGAGGACACCAGGGGAACTACTTGCCTTCGCGAAAAACACCTCGATCCTCAAGGACTTTGAAACCTCACAACAATGAAGAAGTTTCTTGAAGGTTTCTTGAAGTTTATAGATAATCATGGTCTTACTGTTTTACCAGTCCATTCGACAGCCGTTTGTGCCATTCGTTTCCGGGGTTCTGTTTAAAAAGATAGGCGGTCTATCTATCCAGCTATCCGAATTTCCGTAGGAAACAATTGCGCAACTCGTCGCATCCGTCCAAGCAGTCTACAAGCAGGATATCTACAAATATCAGCAGCAGCCACACGTAAGTCTTTCAATACGAGGAGAGCCCATGAAGCATTATTATGTGTTTTATTTCGAAACGCTAAAACAAATCGGCTCGAGACCCGCACTTCGGATCCGTACTTCTTTAATGTGATTCGCGACTAAATCTGTATTTCCCGGGTAAAATATGAATATGAATTTGCAAATAAAAGAAAAATCACAAATTGCCAGAATCTTAAATACCCCTACTGTTTGACGAAAAAAACTTTATTTTCTCAAACCGAATCGAACAGAAAATGAAAAAAAAACAACTAAGAATAATTAAAACAGCTTAGGCCTTCGAGCGAGAAACTCTGCCGCTTATCTGCGTCTCTTTCCGTTGAACAAGGTCAGAAGGGAAGAGTCAAGTGAATCTGTGTTGCTCTTTCGTTACTTTGCTGCTTTTATCATCACTTATATTTACTTATATTTGTCGAAAATATATACCCTAGGGGCACGCCCCCTGCGCAATCGCTTTGCTCGTTTGCCAACAACCAGATCACTGACCTGGCAAACCATTTGTCGCAGTCAAAATTTTGTTTCTAAGTCAAATTACACTACCCGACATGATTTTTAATCAAGGAACCAAACCAACTTTTTCTGATAGATTTGGAGCTTTGAAATTTTTTGATTATTTTCTTTTTTTCCTAGTACAGAACTTTTTTTGCAGAATTATTGAAAACTGTTATTTTTAAAGCTTTTTTACAGCGCTAGCCCTTTTTTCACATAACTTTAGTTTCTTACATCTGGTAGTAATGAGCTTTGCCATTCTGAAAAGCTGATAAGTGCAACTATAAAAAAAATGTCGGTTCCTAGAAAAAAAAGTATGATTTTTTCGAGTAGTGTAATCCATCTTTGTCCTAGTTGAGCAAGAATTATCACTGAAATTATAACATTTGGAACCCGCACATGTGAAGAATATAACAAAAAATACAAAACACGAATGTTTAAAAACTTTAAAATCAAAATTTTATATTTCTTAAGAGAGGAAATGAGAAAATGTTCGCATTGAGCAAAGCAAAAAATTATTCTTAATATTTTTCTAGTTAAATTAAAGCTGAAAAACGATTATAACTATCCAAATTCAATTTTTCTAATTTATACAATTAATATTATAAAAAAACGAGAGGGAACTTTGTGAGTCGCTTCTCTCGCCACGACTGTATTTTTAGACCCATAATCAGTCAGTCTACTGGCACGGCTAGGTTCGCTACAGCTGCGGCGCTCTGGGCTCAGCTCGCCGGATAGGGTCGGGGTCTTTCCTATCTCTATAATTCCTTACGTTCGCCATAATATAAAAAGATTAACTGCACTTTAGTTTACTTTAATCAAAACAAAAAAATAAACCGAGCGGTATAGATGGCAAGAAATATATGATGATTAAAAAATTACTATGTACATTGCTACTAACAACGATTTCCATTTGTTCTTAATACAACTTTTCTTAACATAAGAATATAAAACATTATTCAACATACAACAGAGCCTTTCTACTCACGAATGTCAACATACTCATTTCGGTACTAAAATAATGCATCATTATCATTTTCAGTACACACACACACTTTCCTTAACGAGCTCGTTGGGCCCAATGAACTGCTTCGGTGCTGTGAAACAAGATTAATGTTATACAGATGATAGGAAATAAAGAATGATATTGTAGCCGACATTGCTAGAGTCAGTCCAGGCTTAACATTATTGTTTATGAGATTAATATACTTAACAAAAAAAAGGAAACGAAAATAATTCAAGGGTCCTGCATGATAATGATTTTTCTTTAGAAATTAATTTCGGATGTCCAGATTAAATTGCAAACGCAAAAGAAAAGAAAATTGAGAAAATTAAATGCGAAAATACGCGATCCAACTGTGCCCTTTACATGAATGTGCTTACATATGTACAGCCACACTTCTCTTCCTTTCGAAAGCTCCCTCTTTGCGAGTTATCACTCTATCTTTCTTTCCTGCTCCCACCTACAATGCATTTGCTCGAGTATGCTCGTACTCACGACTTGATGGTTTCAACAACCTTCAACAACCTTCAACAACCTTCAACAACCTTCAACAACCTTCAACAAGCTTCAACATCTCCACTCCTGCTGCTGTTCACATCCTGATCAAAATTCCAGCCGTCTTAAGCTGCGTCGATTTTCAAGCGACTTCGCCTCAGCGGTATTGATGTGAAGTATTGAATCCTGCTTAAGGTTTATAGGGCCTAGTCGACAAGAAGCCAGCCGTACAACTGAAGCTGCTGAACTGAACCAAAACTCCCAAAATTAGAACACTGGAGGTTGCGGAAGCTACAGATATTCGTCCCTTGTGGGGTGGGAAGGGGGCGTGGCGAAATTTTGAAATACACTTGTACACTTGTCGGCAGCAGGCGAGACCACCTCATATAATTGCATCCTGGTCTGGACGTTGATATGCAAGGACTACACCATCAAGTGGACCATGCGACACCAAGCCGAAGCGTGTTACGCGCGGAACCCAGGCAAAAACGCAGCCTCTCCTCCCGCCCACCGGCGCCGCACGCGGCCCGAACCGACGCCGGGGACAGGCACGCGGCTGAAAGGGGGAGTAGGTGGGGGGGTAGGGGGGGGGGAACGGTTCGTGCAAGGAATAATTTGATCTACAAAGCGGAAGAAACAAAGGAATAAAGTTTCTAGTAGATCTAATAGGAATCGTAAAGTTTATGCGGCTCAACAAGTCACAACAAGCATTTTTCTACGACTAACTTAGGTTGAAAGGTTTATTAAAAGCAATCTACGAGGGTAAGAAGGCAGTCTCACACCTGCATCCCAGTTAAGGGCACGCAAAACTAAAAGTATTTTTAATTTTAATTCGATTCCATTTAAATGACGGTGGTAGATCTACATACATATGTCAGGGTTCTTCTAGGGGTTTGCAGTTCTCAACGCATTCATCGATCATTTACTCCAGTTTAAAGTGGTAGGAGATGACAATAATAAAATGAAAGACAAAATACACTCATTGGAGCTCACTATCAACCATTTTTAGAGACAGTTACTAAAAAATTAGTTAGAAATAAAAAATATTTCCATCGAATCAAGGTGAAAGAGGAACAAATCAAGGTAAAAGACGAGCGAATCAAGAAAAAAGACGAGCAAATCAAGGCAAAGACAAACAAATCAAGGACAAAGACGACCAAATCAAGGATCTCAGAGACCAAATTAAGGGCAAAGACAAGCAAATCAAGTAAAGATACGGGAAAATCAACGGCAAAGACAAACAAATCAAGGTGAAAGACGAACAAATCAAGGATCTCAGAGAGGAGGTGAAGATGATTTCTTGTCGCAATGGCGGCTCAAATGGTATGGTATCAATATGCTGCTGTAATCTAAAATATTTGAAACATTAGAACGTCATTTCCATTTAACAGTCAGGCTTACAGCAAACAAAGATTTCGATGAACAAATTTCGAAATTCGTAAATATTTGAAAACTGTTTAGCATAAGCCTGAATATTGAAATTTCACCTTTTTGCCGCTGCTGTACAAATTATTTTTTTGCAATTAATTTTAAATCACTTCACCGGAAGGCTGTTAAGACATTTTCCTATCAAATTAGTTTTATTTCTATTGTCTATCTTAATAGATTCAAAAATCCTACACAATCTATAAAATCTGTGTGTAAGCGGCCATCTTCGCAGCGCGTGCAACAAATTGCATGCTGTTTTTTTAAATGATAGCCAAAAAATGTGGCATGGTTTGCACAAACAAATTTGTACTTTTCTATAAATAGGTTACTCGAAAACTAAAAATTAATCAAAAAAAATCTTAAATTTGGTCAAAAATTGTGTGTTTATACGCCTATTTCATTTCATTTTGTGTCATTCTGTAGAATGGAAAATTTTATGATAGATTTTGTTTTTATACCTTTTTTTATGAATGATTGTTTTCTGAAAAAATGCAATTTGTGTAAGTATATTTGTTGCTTTTGATTATTATTGTTTAATTTCGATGAATTCCTAAATATTTTATGCATTTAGTAAGCAGCGAAGAGCTCGGGTCTGCTAGTATATTACTAAAACTGTAACTATTCTGTAAATATACACAAATTTAACCACTCATCACTATATTGAGCTTAAGTAGCCCCAGTAGCTACAGCTCCAAGTTATGTTAACAGGCAACAAACAGGCAATATAAATATAATATATATAAATATAAGTGTGGTCGTCAGAATTATCCTATCTAAATCCTTCAAAAATTGGAAAAATTGCTAAATCCGACCATGACCGTCCACTCAGACGAATCGCAGGCACATTGGAACGGCTCCATTCCCCTGACCCTTATCAGGAAAATACCATTTTGGATGTCATTGTCACAAGAAATCATCTTCACCTTCTCTCTGAGATGCTTAATTTATTCGTCTTTCACCTTGATTTGTTTGTCGTTGCCGTTGATTTTCCCGTATTTTTACTTGATTTGTTTGTCTTTGCCCTTAATTTGGTCTCTGAGATACTAGATTTGGTCATCTTTGTCCTTAATTTGTTTGTCTTTGCGTTGATTTGCTGGTCTTTTTTCTTGATTTGCTCGTCTTTCACCTTGATTTGTTCCTCTTTAACCTTGATTTTATATACATTTTATTTCTGAATCATTTTTAGACTCTAAAAATGGTTGATGGTGAGCTCCAATGAGTGTATTTTGTCATTCATTTCATTATTGTCATCTGCTACCACTTTAAACTGTAGTAAATGATAGAGGAATGCCTTTAGAACTGAGAAACAAAATTCAAGTATTCGAGTATTTCCCTTGCAACACCGTATTACATTATTATCGTTATTATCATTATTATTCGCTCTAATTTCAATATTTATTTAATTTCTTGGAAATACTTGCAACCGAATATAAACAAAAGTGGAATGTAATCTTTCAAGTAATTTTTAAGAATAATTTTTTGCTTTGTTTTCTCTCTGCGAAAATTTTCTCATTTCCTCTCTTAAGAAAAATACAATTTTCATTTTAAATGTGAACGGGACCACCAGCTATGCTCGCTACTATGATTTTAAAGTGGGAAGCGAAAATGAAGCCTCCGAAGAAATCGCTAGGAGAGTATTCAGGAACAGCAGGAGATTCACTAACTTACCATCTAAACATGACATGTATGAGAACTTTAATTGCGCGAAATTAACTACACCATCTCGCTTACATTTTCTCAAATGATGACAAGACCAAAACTGTTATAAAATGAGTACTTTTTATGATATTTAAATAGTTAAGTTTAAGCTGAAAAACGATTATAACTATCCAAATTCAATTTATGCTAATTTATGCAATTAATATTATAAAAAAACGAGAGGGAACTTTGTGAGTCGCTTCTATCGCCGCGACTGTTTTTTTTATAACCGTAATCAGTCAGTCTACTGGCACGGCTAGGTTCGCTGATTTTCTCTACAGCTTCAGCGCTCTGGGCTTCAGCTCGCCGGATGGGGTCGGGGTCTTTCCTATCTCTATAATTCCTTGCGGTCGCCATAATATAAAAAGATTAGCTGCACTTTACTTTACTTTAATCAAAAAAAAAAAAAATACCGAGCGGTATAGATGGCAAGAAATATATGATGATTAAAAAATTGCTATGTACATTGCTACTAACAACGATTTCCATTTGTTCCTTAATACAACTTTTCTTAACATAAGAATATAAAACATAATTCAACGTACAACAGAGCCTTTCTACTCACGAATGTCAACATACTCATTTCGGTACTAAAATAATGCATCATTATCATTTTCAGTACACACACACTTTCCTTAACGAGCTCGTTGGGCCCAATGAACTGCTTCGGTAGCTGTGAAACAAGATTAATGTTATACAGATGATAGGAAATAAAGAATGATATTGTAGCCGACATTGCTAGAGTCAGTCCAGGCTTAACATTATTGTTTATGAGATTAATCTACTTAACATAAAAAAAGGAAACGAAAATAATTCAAGGGTTCTGCATGATAATGATTTTTCTTTACAAATTAATTTCGGATATCCAGATTAAATTGGAAACGCAAAAGAAAAGAAAATTGAGAAAATTAAATGCGAAAATACGCGATCCAACTGTGCCCTTTATATGACTGTGCTTACATATGTACAGCCACACTTCTCTTCTTTCGAAAGCTCCCTCTTTGGGAGAGCGAGTTATCACTCTATCTTTCTTTGCGCTGCTCCGCTACTCTACAATGCATTTGCTCGAGTATGCTCGTACTCACGACTCGATGGTTTCAACAACCTTCAACAACCTTCAACAAGCTTCAACATCTCCACTCCTGTTGCTGTTCACATCCTGATCAAAATTCCAGCCCTCTTAAGCTGCGTCGATTTTCAAGCGACTTCGCCTCAGCGGTATTGATGTACAGTTGGAATCCTGCTTAAGGTTTATAGGGACTAGTCGACGAAAAGCCAGCCGTAATACACTGGTTGTTGCGGCAGGGGGTTTTAGGTGTGAGAGCGCCAATGCACGGCAGACCTCCAGTGACCAAGAAATTCTGTAACGAATTCCAAGGTCAGCTTATGAACAGAATTAATTGCCCAAATAATCACCTCATTTACATTATGTGTATGTATTTGTTTAGGCACTATGAAGTTTCACAACACCGCTTTAGTTTTGCTGATTAGTCTTAGTGAAGGTATGTATTAGAATTCTGCACACGTGTAGAGTTGTGTAATTGGTTAGGTTTTATGTAATACAGGGCCACGTGGGTGTTGCACATCAAAAGCCAGAGAACAACTGTAGCGTTTGCCGATAGAAATGTAATTGATCAGCGTGGCCGTCGTCGTTTGTGTTAAGCGCACATACGAGCTTTAACGGGACTCTTCCATTGAAGTTCGGTCTCGAGAGACGAATTATAATATGAGAAAGAGAGAGAGAGACCAACCCAAAGCTTACTAATCGAATGGGTAAATTATTAGAGAATTCATGCTTGTGCCTATTCACTGGCCTTTACAATGATTTATGTGGAATTTTAAATATTTTATGTTCCAATTTTTTCATCTGTCATCTACATCTACAATGAAGATTATACATTTCATCCGCCAGAGGGCGCACGCACACAGCACAGGGCAAACTGTGTGTGAGCGCGAAAGAGAATGAGTAGCGCTGTAAGTAGCAACTGAAAATTAATTTCTTCATTCTGGCCACAATAATAGTCCGATCTGATCCAGATTCGGCAATCTGGTAGAAATGGTAATTTTCTACGATACTGCGCTTTAAGTTTTTTCTCGTGGCGAAATTTTGAAATACACTTGTACACGGAAAAAAATCGGATGATCAGACATAGCCTTCAAGTTTAACAATCAGTAAAATATTATGTTCGCACCTGTCTGGCAACACCAAAAGAAACTCGTATGCTACATTTTTATGTAAAAGGGAGGTAGCAGTGAAAGGGTATAAAAAGATTTTGTACTAGCCCATATCGTGTGGGGAAATTTAACCATTCCATATTTATGTGCATAAACTGCATAAGTCTCAACCCATTCCGACCAACCCCACACTTTTTTAACAGTATTATGTGATGCTGATTAATTGAAAATTTTGGAACACTAGCAGACCCACCCGTTTTGCTGCTTACTTAATGCATTTTATGTTTAGGAATTCATCGAAATTAAACAATGATTATCAAAAGCAACAAATATACTTACACAAATTGCATTTTTTCAGAAAACAATTTTTCATAAAAAAAAGGTATACAACAAAATCTAACATAAAATGTTCTGTTCTATAGAACGGCACAAAGTGAAATTAAATGAAATGAAATAGGCGTTTAAAAACACCTTTTTAGACCAAATTTTAGATATTTATTTGAATTAATTTTTAATTTTCGACTAGCCTATTTATAGAAAAGTACAAATTTGTTTGTACAAACCATGCCACATTCTCTGGCTATCATTTAAACATTTAAACAGCATGCAATTTGTTTCGAAGATGGCCGCTTACACACCGATTTTTTCTACAAATTTATAGTATAGATTTAAACTAAGTATATACTCGATTAGGTGTATAATCCATATTATCAAGTCAAAATTACACATGGACACATTCAAAAGGTATTAATTTGTAGCACAGTGTTATTTATTATATTATTTGCGTAAGAAAAATCATTTACAATTGGTCTTCGTAGTAAAGCGACCGCAATAATGTGAAATAGCTCATTGATGTACTTAAAATCGCCGTGAAGCTTTGAAGAGACAGAGTGGAAAATTTAAACGCCGTTATTCTGACTGGTCGTTGACTACAGAGTATCATAAATCTTAAGTCATTACGGAACTGCTGACTAATGGCAGCGTATGAATAAAAATTGGTCTTGTTTGGATCCTCCCATTCACAACCATAAAGGTGCCATGCTGTAGTTGTGGAGTGTATAATTAACGCATCTCCATTTTCACAAAGCACATATAACTGAGAAATCGCGGAGGATATGTATACAATAAATTTTACGTACTCTCCAATGAACATATTCTTTCCAGTAATTATTTGAAAGCCAACCATGCAAATTAAAAGCGATGAAATCATTAGATTCACCAAGAGTATGGGATTAAAAAAGTCCTCCAAACACTTGGCGAATCTGATTATTTTGTTGTGCTGTTGAACAATTTTGTGCAGTCGCTGAAGCTGCAAATGTTGCTCGTTATCGGTGATTTCAGCTCTTTCTTTAGCCGCAGTCCATACGTTGTCGACACGCTCATGCAGCAATCGAAACTGTCCACAGGTGTAAGTTATGAAAAAACCAAAAAGTGAATCTTCGGCAAACAATGTGGTCACCACACATATTCCGGCATACGATGTAAACATGTAGGTGAGCACATAACGCATCCAACTGCTGTACGGATCGAACGGGAACAGCATTTTATAGGGAAATGGTTTCTCAACTGCATCTACTCCTGTACGAAAGAAAAGTTCCACCAACGGAAGGGCGCAGTACATGCATATTAGACAAGAAAGCAGACCTGTCATGATGCTAAAGGTGAACATACGCCTATGGCACTCGGCGTTAACACTGGAGTGGGTGTTTTCTGAAATCCAAATATCGCGGCCAAATTGATCAATTAATTTCCGAAATTTTCGCTGGTTGAGACGTAAATGAAGCAATCTCACAAAGTTTAGGGCGCCCATGAATGTGGTGCAACAATTTTCCGTAGTCATAATAATATCCGAAAAATGAGTTACCAAATATGCGGTTTGAAACCCGATCGTTATGCCAACGGATGATATGACGTACCAAGCCCATGCGGTGTAAATTAAATAATACATTGAGTTGCTATCCTTCCTGGAGGAAGGCCAAAATGGCCAAGAGCCATTCAGCTTTAGCCAGACACATTGAACTGGTAAACGAAAGGTGATATCTGTGTATTGTTGTAGGTTAAACATGACTTCTCGACGTACCAGTGCTTTATCACTGCAATGAACTCACCGATAGCACTTTTATATCTGATTAATTTTCTAAATGTATACGACATTTGAAAGAGAATTTTATATTAGTCAAATATAGGCCTGCGGCAAAAATTGGACGTCCTCAATATAAAATATTCATTAAAAGCTTTTACCAGGGTAGTTGAAAAAAATTATTGGTTTGAATGTTCATACGCAGCGTATAAGTAGGCTACAAAGTGGTACAAAAAGATAGCATAACAAGAATATTTTTTTTAATTTGTCTTACAATAAGATGAAAATTGGGGGTTCTACATTCGTGGGGGTTTTGTGTTTCAATATTGATACCAGTGTGTAAATAGACATATTAAAGAAATTTAATATTGACATGAAAGTTCACAAAACTTAACAATTTTAATTTGTTCTCGTAGTCTGTAGTATATGTAAATGCTTGATCAGCATCAATTAAGCCATGTCTGTGGGACTGGCCGTCCTTTTGAACACCTAGTTCTGAGATACTATAAGAGATAGATTTTGTTATGATATAATTCGCATTAAAATAAGTATATTTCCAATTTTTGCACGCCATCTTTCGCCTTTTCGAATCGCGAAATTCCCTCACATTAATGCTCATAAATTTTTGATTGTAGACATTTGCCATCGCATCATTATTATACCTAGAATAAACGGAAAAACTTAAAGCCCTCAATTCGTTCACCTGTACACATGATTTCGAAATGTTAAAACAAGCATTGTTTTGGGTCATGAAAGTGTAATTATACCCGTACTCGAAGAGTTAAGAGGTATATTAGATTTGTGGTAAAAGTGGATGTGTGCAACACAGAGAAGGAAACGTTTCCGACCCCATAAAGTATATATATGTATATTCTTGATCTTTCGCAGAGATGATGTGGATTCTTCATCAAAAATGTAGAATATATGTAGAAATGTAGAATGTATACTGACTGAGTACGGGTATAAAAGAAGATTAGCGGCCACCGGAGCGACTCTTAACTTTCCCTCTCGTTTAAGCAATATTTTATGAGTTTATTGCACCTCCTGAGTATGAGGATGTGATTTACTCATCCAGACCTAAAACCTAATTTTTGTCTCTTGCTGAGTACAAAATTCTTGTCAAAATATTAACTTTTACGGGTTTAGTTTTGTAATACTATTAAAGTTCATCATTAATAAATGGATTTTTTATGTGCGATAACTGGAATAACTTAATGCTAATATATAAGCAAAACGGCAATCATATGTAAGTTACCCCCACCACCGGGGGGGAGTAAGGGCCCGGGAGGAGCCGCCAGGGGGGGGGGGGCGGGGGGGGGAGGACGGGAGGGGGGGGAAGGCACGGGCGCAGACCGATGCCGCGGCCACGGGCGGGAGGGCGAGAGGGGGAGGGCCCCCCGGAACGGGGCCGCCCCGGGACCACGAGGGGAGACCACGGGGAGGGGGGAGGCACCACCAGTAAAACGGGGGGAGGACCCAGGGGGGGACGGGCGGGGGGGGGGGGGGGGGCGGGGAGCGCCGCGCCGCGGACGCCGGCCCGCGCCGGCGGCCGGGGGGGGGCGGGGGGGGGGGGGGGGGCGGGGGGGGGGGGGGGGGGGGGCGGGCGGGGGGGGGGGGGGGGGGCGGCGCCGGGGGCGCACCAAGCCGGGGGGGGGGGCCACCGGAGGGCCACGGGGGGGGGGGGGGGGGGGGGGGGGGGGGGGCCCCCAGGGGGGGGGGGGGGGGGGGGGGGGGGGGTTTCCAGCTAGGGGCACGGGCCCCCACGGGGGGGGGGGGGGGGGGGGGGGGGGGGCCGGGGGCCGGGGGGGGGGGGGGGGCCCGGGGCGGGGGGGGCCCCCGCCGGGGGGGGGGGGGCGGGGGGCCGGGGGGCCGGGGGGGGCCCCCCGGGGGGGGGGGAGGCCACCCGCCACGCCCGGGGGGGCCCCGCCCGGGGGGCGCGGCCCGGGGGGGGGGGGCGCGGCCGCCCCAGGCGGGACCGGGGGGGGGGGGGGCCGGGGGGACGCAGACGGGGGGAGGGGGGGGCGGGACCGCCGGGGGGGGGCGACCCGGGGGGGGGGCGGCCCCGCCAGGGCCGGGGGGGGGGGGGGCGGGGGGGCCGCCGGCGGTTCCGGGGCGGGGAAGTATTGTACAAATGAACGGACACACAGCCTGCGGCGCAAGCAGTATTTTTTTTTTTGATATTAAGTTACTTTATTTGGCCTCCACGTCTGACACGGGTTAACGCCACCTCCTCAAGCAGTATTTGATTTGATGATTTTATTGATTCTTCTCGCGCTCTGCTTTCCACACCCATGGCAGTTGTTATGTTCCACATTTTAATTAAAGATTGAAATGCATTCATATGGGGGGCTTTATAAATACCAATTCTTTATTTCCTATTGCATTATGCCATTAATACGTCGTTAATATTCATATAACATTGTTCGTTTACTTATTACTTTGCACGCGTCTACAACAAATACTCAACAAAAAAGTGTTTATAAAGGAGATACAAAATTCATATATATACAGAGATAGAGCCAACAAAACACAGGGTTTATAGAACGAGAGTACCTAAGGTGTGTACCAAACACTTCGGCGTATGGTATAGAGCTAAAAATGTTTCGAAATTTCATAGTCAAAACTTTGATTCCTCTAACGATCCGTGAGAAATATTCGCGCTAACCAACAATTGTATCAATTTTCTAATAATTATGCTTACTCGATAATACAAATGTTAAATGTGTTCTTATTTACGGGGGAGGGCATTTATATTTTGGTTTAGTTGTTTTGTTCACACGTCCAGGCCTAATCGAATCATTCAACTAGATACATTGGTTTCTTGCTTGCGTTTCGATAGATCGGAAATCATTATGATTACGAGTTGGGCTAAAAATTAAGATAGATTTGTATAGCTAGGAGTGTGTAAAGTTAATGTTTATCCATTTAGCACGAGCACTGATCCTTGGCATTCGCGGCCTCGCTACTCAGGGAGGTTCGTGACGGCTGCGAAGGTCGGTGCTGCACTCCTGACTCGGACGCATTCAAATCGAGCCGTCCTTCCTGGATGTTCTGATAGATCTTGCGTGCGGTTTCGAGAAACGCTTCCTCCACATTTTGTCCACTGTTTGAAGAAGGTTTAGTTCGGAAATGCACCTAATTAATTGCTTGTTTACACTTACGTCATTGCACTCGCTTCAAGAAACATGAGGCCATTCTCGTCAGCAAACTCTTTGGCCTCCTCGTAGGTCACTTCACGAGTGCTTTCCAGGTCGGACTTGTTACCAATCAAAAAGATCACAGTGCTGGGGTTTGTGAGATTGCGCGTGTCGGTGAGCCAGCTGCTCAAGTGATTGTACGTCGAGCTAAAATAATTTCATAATGATTAAGATCCGTTCTTATAGATCTTATAGGATCTTTCTTAGCATCTGCTCACCGTCTCGTTATATCATAAACCATGAGGGCCCCGGCGGCTCCTCTATAGTAAGAACGTGTGACTGCACGGAATCGCTCCTGGCCCGCAGTGTCCCAGATCTGTAGCTTGATTTTTTTGTCGTCCACCTCGATGATGCGCGTGCCAAACTCTACGCCAATGGTGTGCGGACAATTGGCCATGACTGGAGACAAACGACCAGTTTAGTTTAGTGCAAGGCACGTTATTTCGCTGCAGATCTACTTACATTTTTTTTCGGTAAACTGATGCAGTAGGCAGGACTTGCCCACGCCCATGTCCCCGATGATAATGTATTTGAAGATGTAGTTATAGTTGTACGGGGCTGCCGTCATATTGGGACCTGCAAGAGGACACATAAAATTAGTCAGGTCCCGAAATCAAAATCAGCTTCTTCGGTGACATCCACACATTTTTCAATGAGACAGTCGATGCGGTCGTGCAGTTTGTTCGCAATGCCCCGCACTTTGCTCATCTTGACATTCATTGTGCTGACCCTCCAACCCAAGCAAGCCGTCAACGAAGAGGTTTGCGCTTTATTTATGCAGGTATGTATATGCACGAGAACCACCACAGAGTGCTTATCAAGATATTGCCGCGCTACATCAATTTGTTCTGCGACGTCGAGGTGGCTCCAACTTCCAACATTTTGCTCCCCCTTTTTTTTTGTCAGCTGCCCCCGATATTTTTCTAGGCATGCCTGTGTTTGAACAGCCGACCAGGTTTCTTTGCTCACAGAGTCGAACCCAACTGATGTTGCGGCGGGCAAAACCCTCCGGCGGGCTGCACGCATGACACTTGACGTCAAGTTGCTGAAGTGTGAGTATCACCTCGCAGTGAATGGGGCATACCATTGACTGAAGTGAATCGAGATTGGTCTCAAGGTCGCGGGCCAGCGCGGGAAGTGAATCAGATCATGAAATTGAACATTATTGGGAATAGTATTGCAGCAGCTGTTCGATATGCGAATGCGTTAATTTAGTCCCTACACTGCAAACCCTAGTAATACTTGCATTGGCATGTTGCTGTTTATCTGCCTGACATGTGAGTTCTGTTCAACCAACACAAAACAGTCTCTCATACTCTTATCATAGTATAAAGGCTCATAATTACGAATCTTAAGCGATTACTATTAATGGGACTGGTTTTTGCCAAAGGGAGCTGTCCCCTTAACTAGGCAGCCAATTGCTAGAAAAGTGAAAAAGTGGGTACACTGTTTCTCAGACACTCCTGACCTATTTCCAATACTTGGATGTGATACGCGACCCCCCTGGGATCCTCATCCCCTTCGTCGGTTACCGATGACTGGTTAATGGCTTGTGAAACGGCACAGTAATAATCAATTTTATAGACTCCCTGGCACCCCGCGACATGAAATTTAGATTTGTCCGTGTCGCTGGTCTCGTGTCTTATCAGTCAACACACAAAAGGCCACCCAGCCAATGGAGCGCTGAGTGGCTGGTGTCGGGAGGGGCGGAAACTGTGAGGTCTAAAATGCGTAGAATGGATCGGTGCAGCACACCCGACGAGAAGCACAAAGGCGCACCCAAACAACGGCAAAAAACATTCGGGGGGTGGATACAGTTACAGGCGATACGGGTAGGGCGGGGAAATGAGTACTCAGCTAAATACAGAAATATTAAGAGCGGAAGAGGAGAGAGAGATAGAGAGAGAGTACACTTTTAGTACAAGGGAAAGTCTGACGCCTCAAAAACCACCAACCCCCCACCCACCACTCTTCATTAAGACAGTTTTCCATTTTAAATAACTTAAACACAAACACAGCGCTTATAATTGGCTTAGACACGAGTATACTGCACTAGTATTACTCACCGTTTTAGTTCAACTTAGGGAGCGGATGGAATGTAGGGCGGTTACGAAGCGCTGGCGGGGGTGCGTGTGCCTGTGTACCAGTGTACCAGTGCGTCTGTGTGTGTGTATTGTTGTTTTCAGGCAAGCAGATTTTTCTATCAGATATCTTCGAATGCAAACTGCAGCACAGCACTGTGCTATTACACACACTGGTGTGATGGGCTTGGGCTTGGGCAAGGCCACCAAAAAGGTTATTGATTTAATTATTGTTAATCGCCAAATTAATGTAAATCAGTAGACACTTTTCTTTTGCGTTTTCTTGTTTTTTTTTTGCATGCAATAAAATATACCGCCTGACCCACAGAAATATACCCAAATATACCATGCCATTATCAAAATATACCGTAAATATAATGACGGACACGACCGGAGCGTTGATATTCCTCGATTTTGATATTCCGTTTAATATTACTAGCTAGTTGGCCCATTCAGCCCTTAACATATAATTTAATCCAATTCCTCAATAAATTTTGTTCAGGATTGGCTAGTTTTCAGAACTCCTTTTCATTGGATTGTTTACATAAAAAGGCTCAAACAAAAGCGGCCAAAGCATAAAACGTAATCCCTAGTACCCAGATCCAAAAACTGTTTGCCAGCAAACAAATGTCATATGTATATTCTTCGAGCGGCCAGTGTGTGACCAGAGGTGTGCACTGCATTCCGTACGGTTACACTGCTCAGACATCTGCTTGGTTTTGTCACTAACCATACAGTATATACTGTATGGTTAGTGGTTTTGTTTAAAGTTAATAAAATGCACTTCTTCGGCTGGGGTCGCTCTTTTCCAGGCATATCCTGGGCTCCCCAATATTTTATTGGCAAGGTAATGTGTCTGACTATCAGCAGCAGCAGATGGCGACGACTCCCGTGCCCACCACCGTGAAGACAAACTGTTTTGAAAGCAATATTTGTTTTATATTTATGAAAATTAATAAAAATAATATATTATAATATCCATATAATTGTCCTTGAGTACTGCCTTCCGTACAGAGCCTAGAAAACAGTTTTATTCGAACAAATTTCTTATCGGTTTCATACGAATATCAACCCTGATTTTGTTCGCGAGGTGTTTTTTCGGATCTGAGTACTAGACTTTACTGTCGATAGATGCGCGACTAAAGAAAATAGCCATATAATTGTGCGGTTTCTCACGTAAAATGTAAAACATATAGATGGAAAACCACAAAATTTAAGTGCACAACAAATAAAAAGGGCACATTACGCATTGAAAATGCGGACCTGGCTGATCAATCCATCTCCACAACCGATGGTTTTGATAGTACTATCGAGTGTTTCTTGCAGCTCTAGCGGAGCGCACGTGTTGCGGACTTCTTCGTTTGTTTATGTTTTAATATATTGCCGAAAACATGTTCGTCAACGAAGTCAACGATGTGAAAATATACAATCTGAGCGCCGGAAAGTCGGTGCCGGATGTAAGTGAAACCTTTTCCACTAGTTGAAGCAGCCAAATGAAAATTCTCCCTTTCAGTGGCTGACGGACCGGCGAAAGAAATCAAAGTTGATGAAGAAGGTGGACTCGCGGCGGCAGATCGAGCTAATCCAAGACTTTGACATGCCCGGCGTATGCACAAGCATTCGCATGAGTCCCGATCAGCAGTACATCCTAGCCACAGGAACGTACAAGCCGCGTGTCAAATGTTTTGAAGTCTCCAATCTCTCCATAAAATTTGAGCGCTGCTTTGATTCTGAGGTGACCACTTTCGAGGTTATTAGCGACGACTATTGTAAAATGGTGTTCCTGCAATGCGACCGCTATGTCGAGATTCACGCGGCCCACGGACGCCACTATAGGTTGAGGATTCCACGCTTTGGACGTGACATGAAGTACCACAAGCCCAGCTGTGATATGTACATAGTGGGAGTGGGCAAGGTGAGCATAGGACACAATCGGTCCCTTTTCCATTCTGATATTTTCCATCCGTTCCAGGACATTTATCGACTGAATCTTGAGCGGGGTCAGTTCCTACAGCCCTTTGAGACGGACGCCAGCTGTGTGAATGCCTGCGATGTTAACCCCGAGCATCATCTGCTCGTTGCTGGCACCAAAGAGGGCACAGTTGAGGCATGGGACCCGCGAACAAAGCAACGCTGCTCCACCTTGGATGTGGCCATGAAATTGCCCGGAGTCAAGGAGTTTCCCTCAGTCACAGCTCTAAAGTACCGCAGTGGATTACATATGGCTGTGGGCACAGCATCTGGCCATGTACTTATCTACGATATACGTGCCAAGCAGCCGCTGCTAGTAAAGAATCACTTGAATCGACTGCCTATCAAGCGGTTGGCCTTTAACCCTGCCCAGAATGCCGTTTACAGCTTGGACGAGGCGACTCTGAAGCTGTGGGATGAACAGACGGGCAAGCAGATCGCCTATGTGGAGTCAACCAGCTCGTTTAACGATTTCTGTACCATACCCGATACGGGCATGTTCTTCCTGGCCCAGGAAGATGTGAAAATGTTGACCTACTACGTCCCCGCAATGGGACCGGCTCCCCGTTGGTGCTCGTTCCTGGACAATCTCACCGAGGAGATCGAATCGGAGGTTCTGGAGAATGTCTACGATGACTATCAGTTCGTTACGGCTAAGGAGCTGGCAGAATTGGGCATGGAGCATCTTGTTGGCACCAATCTGCTCAAGGGCTACATGCATGGGTAAGTGCAAGCCAGAACTAAACGTTTGATTGACCAGTTTGGGAATGAATTGTATATTTATTTTTTAGCTACTTCATGGATGCTCGTTTATATAATAAGGCCAAGGCTGTGGTCGAACCCTTCGCCTTTGACCGGTTCCGCAAGGACAAGGTCCGGCAGGAGATCGAAAGTGAGAGAAAGTCGCGCCTGCAGATCGATTCAAAACTGCCAAAAGTCAACAAGGAGTTGGCTCTCAAAATTATGGACGAGCAGGCCAATCCCTCAAACAATGCCAAGGAGCGCAATGTGCCCAATCTTCTGGAGGATTCACGTTTCAAGGCCATGTTTGAAAATTCAGACTTTGCTGTCAACAAAGAGGCGGAAGAGTATCGTCTTCTGGCTCCTGTTCTCAACCGCTTGGATAAGTCCAAGGCCAAGGAGTTGAAGCAGCGTGTGGAGGTGGCTAGAGTGGCCGAGCTGCATGCCGAGGAGGCTGAGCAGCGTGACGACAGCGACAATGACGAGGATCTGTTCGGTTTTGAAAAGAGCGATGGCGAGAAGGAAGAGGAAAGTGGAGATGAGGCCTCTTCGGATGACGATGACAGGCGAGAATATGTCAAGGAAATGAAACAGGCGTACAAACAGGTGAAGCGACAACGCGAGGATGAGGACGAGGAAGATGAGGAGATGGAACAAGCGAAAAATAACGATCAGCTGCAGAGAGGAGCTGCTAATGACCAAGCAAGACCCTTGCAAAATGGAAATTACCTTAATCCGCCCACAAATGGGATTGGAAAACGCTTTACCATGACCCCGCTGGACCAGCACCAAGGAAACAGTCTTATGCAGCAGCGTATAAAGCAGGCCAGCCTGCAGGATCGAGTGCGCGTCATGTCCCAGCTGGAAAGTCAGGTGACCAATGTGGGTCGCTCGCTCGGCAATCGACAAATGACCTTCGAGGTGAACAAGCAGAAGAAGTCACAGTACCACGCCAAGAAACGCGAGGCGGAGCTGAAGAAGCATCGCGACGAGAGGAGAAGTATCGTCAGACCCATCAAATCGCTGAGGCTAAAGAAGGTTAACTTTAAGTAGAAACGTTCAACAAATTGCAATTAGTTTTGTAAATAAATTCATATTTTGTATTAATATTTTGTTCCTTTGCTCAAAAGTCCTCCACATCCACCTCGAAAATAGGGAGGACATCTTGCAATGGACAAGGGTCAACTGGCTCGGCGATTAAATCATACTCATTCATGGACTCGAATTCGGCTATCTGCAGGGGCTCCAACTCAATGCGATCCTCGTAGCCATTTACGGTTGCAAGGGAATCCATAACGAAGCCGCCCTCGCTGCTATCACTGTGGTGGAGATCCCCATCCTCCTCCCCATTTTTGCCTGGACTCCTATTCGTTTGCGTTGAAGCTGGATCTTCTGCTTGGTTAGATCTGAATACCTCATCCTTTCATAACGGGATAGTTACTTACTCACAAAAGTTTCGTCTTTTTCGGGCATGTTTTCCACCAAACGCAGTAGGGCTTGTGTAACAGGACCCGTCTTGGGCTCGGGCATTTTCTCGAAATACAAATTAAAAAACAATTCAGAATTTACCAGTTCCAAGGTACCTTCGGGCTGTCCAAATTGAGTGGAAGCCAATAAAGCCGACTGTTCTGCCCCCATACTTTTCATTGAGAAACAATACGTTGTAGTAGACAAAGATTGAGAAACCGACAAATGGCCTACTAGATTGACGAAAGAATCATGTACTAGTATCTACATTCCCTCACTGTCAAGCTATTTAAATCAGGGATGCAAGCCGATTAGTTTCTTGGTAAGCAAAACAACACTACCAAACTTAACAGCCTCCCAAGTGATCGCTAAGGAGTGTCCTTAGATCTGTCAAGTTATACACTAAATAAGTGTTAAGTACTCATTCTGCAAAATATCGATAGCTTTATTTATAGGATATTTTGGAATAGTCATAAGCTCTTTAGCTCTACAGACACCACATGTAAGGATCAATATAAGTTATAACGTAGCCTGCACTTGTGCTAAACTTATTGTCAGTGGACTAGTTCTATCCTCATTACTTAAGTGCTAAGTACTCATTCAGTAAAATGTACTGTAAATATTTTATTTTTTTATTTTAGTCAATAACTTTATTATTCCACTACTTGAAATTCCATTGAACCAAGTACGGGGTGGCTATTAATAGCTGTCGCACTTGCACCCATTGTGAATTCTTACCAAAAAGCATGGTAAATATTCGAACTAATAAAAAAGCAATTGAGAGGTATCAAAATACGATATCTGTTATGGTTTGGGGCCATGTACGTTATAAGGAAAACACATTTTTGGCTTTATTTTAAATCGTTTTTTTTTATCAAAAAAACTGGCCTCTTTCCTTTGGGGATCTGAATCAATTAAACGTCTGCTTATGGGGTTTCATGCTGGGAATATACTAAAAAACATGAGTTGCAGTAATTTAACCGCCAATTGAAAAAAATTGTTGACGGAGTTCCCGATAAGAAGGGTGGTGCGTTAGTTATTCGTAGCAATCCTGTAAATATTGTCCCCGTAATGGCTTTCCAAAATGTAAGACTAGAGCAGGAAACAGATATTATAACTATGTTGCCACATGATCTGTTCGAAAATGAAGTCCGGAAGCTGAATATTCATACTTCTCGATTCCAGCTTTCTACTGCCGAGATGTGACATTTATTAGCGAATTCTAGTTTGCGAGTTTCTCTGTGATCGAATTGCTAATTAACCTGGCATTTGTTTTCTAGTCCGATTTGTTTTCTAGTCCGAAGTAAACACCTTAGTCACTGACTGCTTCCATCCATTGGATCCATTAGAGCACTTCCATTCCCAGGTAGGTCCCCATGAACTGAATTTTATACTGTCTGTCATTTACATGCTGAGCTTTTGACTTACTCCGAAGCTGTCTGTTTAGTCCATTGACTGAGCTTACTGTGCAAAGCTCCGCAGCACGTAGTGTAGATCCCAATTTTCGTATAAATACGAAGCTGTTGTAGAATTTTCAGCTCATTTTAAGTATTTCTTGTGTATCGTTTGTGCTAGTCTTTGTCTAAGAGTGGTAGGTAATGCGAGTACCAAAGTGGATAAATGGATAAAACTCTTGATGGTCCTAAGCGATCAGTGGAAGTCTGGAAAGTTCTGTAGTGCTACTGTTCAGGGGACAACAATGGAAACATTCGTTGTCCTAGATTGTTGAACTGTGATAGTATTCCTGTGATAGTATCCTTTCAATGCCATTTAAATTATGCAATGTGCTCATAATGTGCTCTGTAAGGCCACTCAAGAATCTATAAATTTAACCGTGAGACCTTCTACCATATAATAACTTTGCTACATAGTATTTAGCTTAAAAACTATATTTTCCCTTAATTACTGCATTTACATTTAACGTTTGGTCTGCCGTTCAAAAATTAGCTTCCATAGTTTTTAATTCTATGGGAACTTCAAGCTTCAGCAACTCTATCCCAGCCATTTGATAATAATAATAATACAGAAATACGCAAAACAACAACAAAAATTAGATTTTATCTAAACAAATCTGGCAACCGGTTGGACAAAGGCCCATAAATATACGAATAGAGAAACGAGAAAAACAGAAGACAAAGTAACTCGAGTTAGAGACTTGGCGCAGACACCAACTTGTCCAATGCTGAACTTTAGCATATTGCAAGACGACAAATTGCGGCTTGTCTTCGTCTAATGGCTTGGGGTCTTTAGGCGTTGACAAGGTCTATTCGAACTGTTCGAACTGTTCAAACTGGGGTCCAAGAGCTGTGACAAGAGCTTTGCCCCTCAATCAGATCAGACTCCACTCCACTCATTTCCACCTTGAACCTGAAGTGTGTCTGAGGAAGTACTTGCTTAGCTATCTTTGTTGAGCACGATTCTCGAATTGTCAAACACATTTGCTTGATTGTTATCAAAGAGTAGTGACAATTCAGAAATAATTATAAAGTCTCGTTCAAATCGTATGGAAATAATGTACTCAAAACTGGTTTTTAAAGTTTTCGTGTTTGGCCGAAAAACGAGTTTATTGATTTTAACAAATTTGTTTTAATCAGCATGCAAGTTGGCCAAGTCTATAATTGTTTCTTTATACACACAGTATATACAGATCAGATCTCTGTTTGTCTCCCTCTTCGTCGAATTTTTGCGAACGGAAGATTTATGAGAAAAGCGTGCTTGAACTGTGAATGGGTTTTGGTTCGTTTACCCAGTGAGTTCATTCTCTGGCCGTTACAAAAAGGCTCCAGCCCACTCTCAGATCTTAGATTTGGAGCCCCAACTGTCAAGGCTATATTATGAAATATACATAAAAATGTATGTATATATGTATGTATGTATATGGCATGTCTCGTGATATAAGCTAAACAAACTGCATAATCGGGGCTGGTTTCGGATGCATTTATAATTTCATACATGCACATGTACATATATGTAAATATATGTATGTATATGTAAAAACCTATCAACAAAGTACATATACATATGTACATATTTAAAGAAAAAAAAAACCACTACAAAGTCAAGCTGGCCAAGGCCTCACGGCAAAAAGTCTCACTTCAGTGCAGATGTTAATTAATTAATGAATTAATGAAAATCAAGTAAATGCAGTTAAGCGCCATGCGAATGGGAAAACATCAGCAGCAGCCCCAGAAGAACTGATTTATTGAAAAATACAAATAAATAAATGTTAGTTTTTGACTATAATTTCTCCTCCTTTCTTCCTGCTCAGCGACAATGTTCCGATTCCTTGCGATCGCTGCCTGCCTGGCCATCAGTGTCCACGCCTACTCGGAGGGCGGTCCTAAGGTCGCGTGCCGGGATCTGACGCCCCAGCACGGCGCAAAGCTGCAGACGGAGAAGCCCCCGTACAGTTTAGCCGGCCCCTCACATGTCCGAAGCGACCAGAAGCTGAGGCTTACCCTCGGCGGTGATAACTTCCTTGGCTTCATGATCCAGGCCCGCGACGGACAGAACCGGGTGGTTGGCCAATTCCAGGTGGTCGATGACACCCATTCCCAGACACTGGACTGTTCCGGCAAGCAGGACACGTTGACTCACCTGAAGGCCACCAAGGGAAGCCCACTGACCGGCGTCACCTTCGATTGGATCCCACCAGCGGGCTACAAGGGCAACGTTAAGTTCATGGCTACCGTTGTGCAAACTAGTTTCGTTTACTGGGTGGGCCGTGTCACCAAAGACATCGACGTGGAGTAAATGCAGCTGTATTCAGTATTTGTGATAGATATTTCATGCTTATTTTTGTAAATCTATAACGGTGTTGACCGTTACTGCTCCAAGCTAAATTGGAACCAAGTATTTTTTGGAATAAAGTCAAGAGTTAATGAAAACGGTTGAGCTATCGATATTCTATTATTGTATTGTATTGTATTCCATCCAAGTCAGCTTTCAGCATTGATCAGAATCACTAACCATACAGTATACTGTATGGTTAGTGTCAGAATTTAACATATTTTACGCATTACAGGTGAAAGATGTCGGTGTCGATGGAGCTACAAGGAGCCTTTACAAACAGTAATATTTTCCGCGCTTCAACAAAGGGTGCTCAACTTTTTAAATAGAGACGTGTTAAGTGGGTTAAGTCTCGTTTAATCGCCGGAGGCCCTGGTTTTTAAATGGTATGGTATTTAAATGGTATTTCTCGAAACTGAAATGGTATTTATTTTGTGGCCGGATGGTATTTTTTATTATTATCGGCGCGGTCACGCTGAAACTCAATGTTGTTTTGTAATTAATTTGGATTAAGCCGTTTCACTTAGAGCTGTCAAACGATTGATAGTTGAGCCATCGATAGCATTGAATGTTTTGAAAAAAACAATCGATACTATCATGATAGTCTCAGAACCGTCGATAGTAGAGGCCATCAGTAAAATATCGATACTATCGATAGTGCCCTCGATGGTTTGACACCTCTGTTGTTTTGTAATTTTGGATTAAACCGTTTCACTGCACATTTTTCAGTCTCAGGTATTTGGAATGTTGCGAAATTTGATGCGAAGTTTTGAGATTACGCTCAGACTTCACTCAACCACGGCCATAGCTCCAGTCCTGGCTACAGCAGCAACAGTTGGCTGCGCCAGACGCACGCTCTTCACGTACGAGTACGAAAGCCACGCCAGGGCAAAGAAGTCCCTACTGACAGCAACAGCGACCACCACAGCGAGTCCCGGCAACGAGGCGGACAATGATTACGTGCCGTATCGCCTGGAGCAGGAAACGGGGACAAAAGCCAGCGTTCTGATCGACACACTGAAGGAACGGTTCCGGCTCACCGAAGCCGAGCTCCAGCGGATTATGGGCGATGATTCGGTGCACCGCAACTATCGTAGTCGCTCCCTGACAATGACGCTGGACCAGCTGGAGCTGGAGGGTGTTAGCAAACGCAGCTTTGTGGAGTATCCCTGGCTGCTGTCGCTGGACAACAGTGAGTACATCTCCTTCTGTTGAGCGAGTTGCTTATGTCTACAGGTGTTTTCCCACAGAGCGGCTGCATCTGAAACTGCAGCTAATAAAGTCAATGAACATACGGGACATCAATCACTTTGTTCCCTTCCTGCGTCTCACTGTGCCACGCCTCCGCAAGCTGGTCACCGCCCTCAACACAGAGATGAAGACGATACCGCAGCAGAATCGCGTCTACTACATCAGCGAGAGTTTGCAGGTTAGCCCGGAAATAGTAACCAAATACCTGTCCAAGCGCCTCTTTATTCTGGAGATGCCATACGAAATGTTTGAGAAGAACCTGCAGCACATGATCGACTACAATGTGTCGCCCATTAACATACTGAAGGATCTGTGGGCCTTTCGGTATACCCCGCGGTCTGTGCAGGTGCGTTTAGAGAGGGCGAAGCGGGCAAAGAAGGACAAGATCATGCCGTGGATGGTTCGTTGTCCCGAGCCCATACTGCAACGATCCCTCAAGCTGTCCCTGGATGAGCTCCAAGTGCTTGGCAAGCACTCCTCCGTGGTGGAGTACTTGGGCCATCGCTTGGGCTTTAGCGTGGTTGAAACCAAAGGGATCATGGACAGACACCCGCAGGTGCACACTGTGCGGGTGACAAAGGCAAGCAGCACATCCATATGCCTGACACACAGATAATTCAACAGGTTGGCTTTCTATTTTACAGATCAAGGAGGTGCTGGACTATTTGCTCGATGAGGCAAAATTCACGCGTTTTGAGATAGCCCAAAATCCTCGAATTCTGTGCCACAGCCTAAAGACCACCCAGGCCCGTGTGGAGGAGCTCAAGAGCCATGGGTGCCGACCCTCCTCCCTGGTCATCGTTTGTCGCAGCAGGAGAGAGTATGAAAAGTTCCTACAGCATTGGCTGAGCCAAGTGAGATATCAGCAAACACCTGCTGACCCATGAGCAGGCAGAATATTGTGTTCTTTAAGTTTGAAAGTCATTTGGATCAGTTTAGATCAATAATAAATAATGCCGTGATAAGTTTAATACTGCGACAGCAGCGATTTACACACTGAAAGACAGGCTGGCTCAAGACATGTATAATTAATTGAAACAGACATACATACATATAATGGATTTAAATATTTTGCTTAGCTAACATTTAAATACGTTTTGTGCTCTATTTGAATACCATTTCGTAGTTGTACTTCAACAGAGGGTAGCAGATTGAATGGTGTGTGGATTTATAGCTAGAGAAGACATGGAGTGAGCAGCCAACGGATCGCAGCTTGGAAATTCATATATGTAAAGCTATTGTTTATGAACTGGAATACCATCTTCGCCATTGCAATTGCCATTCCACTACCGCCGACAGATAGCCTACCTTCCATCTTTCTGTGTGGCCGTCGCTAAGCTCGTTACGTTCCCCACCTCGAAAAAGATTATACTAAAAGCTAAGAACCTCTTTGTGCTCGCTTAGAAATATCTTTGGTTGTGTAGCACGTGAATAGACTGGTGTTTAGATTTTGCTCTCGACTTAGTCGCGCAGCGCCCGGCGCCGCTCCAATGCCACCTGCATCGACCAGATGCTCAATGGCCGCATGTAGCCAATGGAGCGATATCGCTTCTCGCCGTACAGGGCCTCGGGGGTCTCGAAGTTCATGCCGATGCGCTCCGAGAGGGTTTTGTACATTCCGCCGGCCGTCTGGAAGGCCTCCTCGAACATGCCCTCCTGTATCATAGTGGCTGCAAGCGCATAGACCACTCCGGGCCACACCTCCTCCGCTTGGATATTGCTGTTGTCCACATGTCCCGGCTTGGAGGGGTCAGCCGCATTGGCTATGAAGCCGTTGGCCGCCCCAATGTTGCCCTCGTGGAAGCCCATCACATTGTTGTCGTAGATACTCTTGAGAGCTGTGCGCACATTCTCCTTGGGATAGATTTCGTAGTCAAAGCCGCACGACTTTAAATACCAATGGCCGCACAGCTGATCCGCCATAATCGTGTCCCGATGGCTGGGCGAGAGATCGAAGCGATAGTAGCTGCCGTTCCAGAGCTTCTCCTCCAGAGATCGCTTGCCCTTCTCGAGGATGTCCTGATAGCGGAGGCAATCGTTCGGCTGGTCCATAATGGTGGCCATGGCCGACATTGCCTGCAGAGCGGCCAGCCACAGTCCCGAGCAGTACGCACTGGGCCCGTCCATCACCCAAGAGTCGTATGTCTGGTCGGGCATTTTGGTGTTCTCGATCAGGCCATCGTTGTCCTTGTCATACTCAATGGTTCGCTCCATTATGTCCTTGCAGGGCCCGTACATAGCCTTCAGATAGCCAATCGCATCCATGAGATACACCTTGCCATTGGTCTCGTTGATGTACATGGAGGCAGACTTGCGGTTCTCTGCAGGGAAAGAATTCGAAGCGAAATGGAGAGCTTTAGCAGTCAGTCCATCAAGTATTGGAATCGCCGAGGGACTTACGCTGCTTCTCGTCCGACGAGTTCTTGCGCTTGTTGTCCTGCGTGTACATTTCGTAGAGGCTTTCCTTTGTCGATGAACTCAATGGAGCTAAACTTGCTGGCATTGTCCGCTTGGGACTGGGCCAGCTCATTGAGGACATAGTAGTCCCTGTAGACCTGCAGCACAAACTTGGTATTGAGATCCTTCCAATCGTTGACGTCGTGAATGTTGTAGCAATTGATCAGTGTAAAGGGCTCTGAAACAAACGAAATGTCGCATTAATTTCTTCGTTTGAAGAGTGTCAGCGTCTGGGACCTACCTTCATCGGGGTCGCCCAGATCGTGGGGCACACAGTTCTTGACCTTGCGAGGCATCACTTTGCCGTCGTAGAGCATCTTTCGGGTGTCGCTCAGCTCTGCTGCAATGGCATCCTTGAAGTCGTACTGCAGGCTCACCTGCAGGTTCGGCCAGAGATGGGCCAGTGCTGGCGAGGCATAGAAGTGGACATCGTAGGTGTTGTACATGCGATACTCGTGCCCCTCCAGGTAGCCAAAGCGTCCATAGGCCAGCCGGGGATCGTCGTAGGCCAGCTCCTTGCCCAGCGAAGAGTCGCACTTCAGCCAGATGGTTCCTCCGTCCGAGATAAAGTAGAGCTGATTGAATATGGCGCACTTGTACCAGTCGGGCAGAGTCCTAGAAGGAAACAGATGCCAGTCACAATATACTCGAATGGGACCCAATCGATACCCACTCATCGTTAAGTATGGGCCGCTGCCAGGCATCAATCAGTCGCTCCCAGCTGGGGTACTGCTTCAGGGCATACTCGCAGATCATGGGCCCCGACTCGCCGCTGTCGTCAAAGTATTTGGTGTAGTAGCGAGTGTGTGTCTGCATCTTCCTGGGGAACTGAATCCTGGGCATGTCCCAAGCCAGTACAAACTCTAGCTCATGCGAGGCCTGGGGCTTGAGGGCTAGTTGGGCGCAGACAGCGACGCCAATGTCTTTGGCTGAGAGGGGGAGAGAGAGAGAGACACAGATTAATAAAGAGGTTCGCTTGGCAGTGGCAGTCACTCACTTTTCAGGGTTTCCCCGGTGGGCTGCTCACTGAGCTGGCCGTTCTCCTTCAGCTGAGCCCACAACTGCTCTCCGCTGCCAGCCGGGTCGAACTGGGGACAGCGCGTGATGCTGATCTCTGGGAGGACGCGACAGGCCAGGTTGTAGCTGCACGGCATGTCGGCGATCTTCTGGCGAATGGCGACGCCCTTGGCATTGCCAGCGCTGATCAGCTGCGACTCGGCCCCGCCCTCGGCGTCCTGCTTCTTGTTGCCCGTGCCGTTCTTGAAGGTGAACGTGATGGAGACTATGCGCTCCTGGTCGCACACGTTCTCCACACTCCACACAAAGACGGCACACGGCAGGCTGGAGTCCCGGTACTCGTGCGGAATGACCGGCGAGACCTGGCGACACACCAGTCGAACACCATAGTGGGAGAGATCGTACTCGGTCCAGGAGCGCGGGTACAGGCCCGTGTAGCTGCAGCGGGCGTCGTCGATGTTGGAGTGCCAGGCACTCAGCGGCTGCTTGGGGCGGCTGCTGCAATTGGGCAGTTGACATTTAGTTTTCTCCCCATCGGCATCCGGATCGCTGCCGTTGCCCTTGGACATGGTGCTAGATGTGTGGATTGGAAGCGCATGTGGCAAGGCGTAAGCAAAACCAAATCGGAACCAAAGTGCAAAATGCAACAAAGCCAAAAAGCCAAAAAGCAGCCCCCACCCAACCCCATGCCGACATTAGTCGTATCAGAAAATACCCCACATCGGATTTGGATATATGTACATATGTATATCCAGACCATACATTGCATATCCCAGTGATGATGTTGTTGTTGGTGTTGTCGATAGGTTGCGTGTTTAATAATTCGTATTTACGAGTATGTGGTGTGCATCCAGAATGAGAGAAAAATATTTAATTTCCAAATTATTGTAATTATTCGCTTCAGATTTTCATAGAGAAGAACCATCGCCACTTGGAGGGATTAGCTAGGGTTAGTGTTTAAAATGTCATAGTGCTTTACAGAATAGATTGTTAGCTCGCACTTCACCATGAGTTTTGGGGGAGACAACTGTGGGTTTTCAGAAATGAGCTACATACAGACACAGTATAGATTCGATGAGAAGTAATTGTAACGAAATACCATTTCTGTAATGTGTTTTTATGTATATAAAGAGTGATTGCTTTGTATTTTAAGTTGGGTGTGGGAAAGTAGCGCCCATGTTTGATGCAAATACAAAAAGAGATTTTTGGGGTATGGTTAAAGGTGTATAAACGAGTGACACATATTTTCCCCAAAAAATAATACTCCTGACACTTCTTTTCCTATTGGTTCGTCAAGAAAAATAACTCTTGGAATTACATATTAAATTAAATTATTTAAAAGCTATTTAAAATATCCAAAAAATGAGAGAGCCCGACCTGTCGTGCACATCCAATTGGACATTTAGTATAAAACGTATACAAAAGCTACCCAAATGATTCCGGCACGCTGCGAACGAGTACTCGTGCGAGTGCAGGGAGTTCATTGTTTTCCCAAAACACCTTTAGATGTGCAATAAATAATAATAATAAAAGTAACGCTTCTATCCCTCACTCAATGAAGAATAAAAGATCCCCAGAAAGCGAATCAATTGCAAATTCAAGGCATGCAAGCAACACGAATCAGGCATAACAACACACAAATGAATAGAAAGTTGCAATAAGCATTTAGCTATAGTATGTAAAGTGAAAAGTATGTACATTTTGAAGGCCTTTGGGCTGGTTGGGAAATCATATGGTACAGATGGAGCGACAGAGGAACACAGATGTAATGATAAAGTTATTCTTACCTGCCCTTGGAGAGTAGACTCTGAAAGATGGTGCAGCCCTTCTGATCCTTGATGGTCACTATAAACTGATTGGCCTGCACCACATTGTACTCGTAGATGCCGGGACGCATCTGGAAGCGACAGAACTCGCCCGCATAGCCCCGTCCGATGGTGCCTCCGCCTATCCCGCCGATGGGCACGCCATAAATCTGCTTTCCGTTCTCCATGTAATAGTAGTCCATGTACACTCGACGACCTTCACGCGACACTTTCCAGTAGTAGGCCGCATATCTATTGGGATGAGAGCAGGAGACAGGGACAAAAATCAGATTTCAGCTACTAAAGTTTTCCCCATTTCCATTTCATTTCCATTTCCGTGCCCCATCGCCATCCCAATCCAATTGCCTGCCCCTGACCCCGATGATGTCATAATTGTGTGAGCTTTCCGTTTGGGGAGTCGACCCACACACGCACATCACATCGAATGTAGGGGCTGTCACAGCTTAGCGATTCTTCCTCCCCTTCATGGGGCGCTGGGGTTTTGTGAAGGTCAGCAAACGTCTCAGTGGTTGACAAAGTCAAGTGCAAGGCACCAGTGACCGAGCTGAGGGCTGGGGGCTGGGGGCAACGGCGTTAGCCACCATACGGAAATGTTTCAATGCCGAATAGTCACAAAAATGTTTACGGTCTATGCAAAGCGATACTTTTCCCATTAATTCATTATTTGCGAAACTCTGGACCGAAGATGAACACTCGTCAGGGAGGTACTCACGAGGAGTAGCCTCCTTTCGTATCACCTGCACCTGCAATGGAATTCCTAAGGTTCCCTATGGTTTGATTTGGTTGGGTATGTCAACGGAAAGTAAAACGTTGCCATTGGGAAGACCGAAAAGTTGATGATCAGAGTGAATTGAGAGGTGTACAACAGTGCTTGAGCACTTAAGACTCGATCGCACAACTTTTAAAAGAAGAGGTACAAATGAGAGATTGTTTTCGAATTGATTATAGTCAATATATAGAGCATAGTCAATATTCGTAAAGAAATAAATAAATAATGAAGGTCTTCACAAAGTGTCATAAAATATTTCGAGAAATCCGAATGTCTTTGGCACATTCGAATCCATTTCGTTTTGCATACTATTCAAATTCATAGCACAGAACGCCGAAAGCTGCCCAACTCAGAACAGACTTACATTAATAGAAACTAATTTCCTTCAACTCAATTCGAGTTCATTCCGTGAATTCCACGCAGATCTCTAATATGTAGAGCGTGTTAAAGCTACGCCCTTAGGGATTTCAAAGGGACTTAATTACTTTAAGTATTTTCCGGAAATGTATAACCGTGTATCTCTCTAGTTTTAAACTTTTAACAACTATATTGGAGTATGGTAAAACCCAACCCAATCTTTGTTCAGAGTGTACACTGTTTTTTGTGGTTTTGCGCTTCTGGCATGGTTCATCGGGGCTTTGGCATTAGTTCTTTCTGTATGCCATGCCAAACGCACCTTTGGCAAAAGCTTTAAAAAGCCAGACACACCTTTTTCGTCAACTGCTTAGAATGTTAATGGGACGAGCAACAAAATACTCGTGTATACATACAGTGGATACATATATACCACATATACTATATGGCTTAATTTGATTTTTATTGTGTGTTAAAATGGCAATTAAAATTATAAACAGAGATTTACTACCTTTAAATTCTTTTTCATATTTTCCTTTGATTGCAGAAAGGGAAAATATTATTAATAACGAGGGTGACGAGGGTCTGCCTGTCATGTTCATGTTACATTTCCCGAGGCAACCCAAAGAGGATGCTCGACTTTCACACACGCAGCAAAAGCCCAACTGGATAAGCGACGCAAAGGTGCACTTTAATGTCATTTATTCAATTATACGAGTATTCAATTAAAAACGAATTTCTTTGCTCGCATCCCACAGACAGTTTCTGCTCGCCGCATGTTTTCCCATTTAAAATAATTAAGAAAATATGAAGATGGGAAAATTGCTGAGCAACAAGGAAATTTATGAAGATGGCTGATGGCTTCCCAGCAGCCATAATCCATCTGAGTGGGAGGCCGCCCCGCGCGCGTCTGTTGTTCTTTTAATTATGCCAAAGGCATTGTGCAGACTCGATGGAGAGACTTAATAGCCCCGTAATAATTTCTGATGATTTGGCTATGCATAATGAACATAATAAGAATGATTTGTGACTCAACGAAAGATTTTCACCTCAGATTAAAAATTTCAAATTATTTTAACAGTCCCAAAAATTGCATCTGTAGTGTATAATTATTCATACATAAATATGTACCCATGGGAACCAGGGCTAGCGGGCTTTTTAGAGCTATATTATAGAGCAGTAGTCGTCACCAATACAATAACATTTTCGTGTTTGGCTGAGTGCCAAGAGGAAGCTCTGGAGTACAATTCTGATGGCAGTTCAACCTACAGCACTTTCCAAGTACAAAGACAGCAATTACTTGATCCTAAAAGCACTTTAAAACGGTACAAATTTACTGGCCTCGGCTCGGGGCGTGGAGTTAACACGAAAACAAAACTGGAAATTTAAAAATCTTAAAAATATAAAACTGCTGCACTGGACAGATCGGAGCTGAGACCGCTCAGCGCGGGGATATGTCCGCATCGGCTACGGCTGCAGCGAGATCGCTACTCGGGTGAGCTTTCATCTGTGGTGCGTGTGTGGCAGGCTCCTGTGCGTCGGCTTCGTCGGTACTAAGCTCCTCAGGCGGCTCCTCCTCGTGCAGTGTCGAGGCCAGGAGCTGGGACACAAACTCGGCCCGATGGGCAAGGAACGCGTTCTGCGCGGGGGACTCCAGCGTGGCGTGCGAAAAAAATCGACTGCAGAGGTACCGGGTGTCCCGCTTCTCCTGTGGGGGCGGCTTCTCCATAGAGGCTATCAGGCTATGGATCAGGGCTTCGTTCAAGCTCTGGGTGAGGACGTCACGGTCCTCGGGGGGCAGTGTGTTGGCCCCCAAGTCACGTGGCGCCGGAACGAGTGGACCGTGGTTGCCGAACATCGGTGATGCTGCGCTGAAAGCTGGCCAAGCAGTCGTCTCGTGGGACACGCCGAACCCGGACCCACGGAACTGATCCATCATAGGGGGATCGGCAAGGAAGAAGTCCCGAGCTGATGGTCGGCCAAAGAATCGCGCGCCATGTGACTGGTCGGTGGTTGGGCGGTGGCCAGCGATGGCGATGCCGCTCTGAAACATAGGGCTATGGGAAGAAGATGGGTTCCTGGCCCGACTGGATCGGCTGGTTGGCAGCGGGGTGGTCCCATTGTAGCGCGTCATGTCGCTCGTCATGCGATGTTGGCCTGTAGACGGCGAGGTGGGTGGGGCCGGGACCGGATGGGATCCATTCGCTGGGGACCGTAATGCGTAGCTTGGCTGGGCCAGATTCACGTGATCGACAGTGCGCATATTGAAGCGCAATCCTGCACTGGCACTGGGACCGCTTCGCCGTCTGACGGACACTCCTCCACGAGTGGTCACATCTGGGGACTCCTCTGACGCAGGTGCGGGCCGGCGTAGCAGGAGCGGTCCATCCCTGGCCGCAGCGCCAATGAACGTCTGTGTTTTGGATGACAGCGCCCTCGGGTAGCTGCCATCGGGATTGAGCGGTACCAGGCGGAGGACCAGGGTGCCCTCAGTGTGGTTCATCTGCTCGTTGCGCGAGTTCGCCGCCGCCGCCATGGAGGCCAGCTGCTCGTTCTCGAGGAACATGCGGGAGGCCTGTTGCTGCTCGAACAAGGTGATCATGGTGGAGACCAGCAGGGGGCTGGCGGTGGGGTGCATCCCCGAGATGTGCTCCAGGAAGGTGGCCTCGTTGAAGCCCCAGAGCTTGCAGTAGGGGCACCTGTAGCTCTGCGGGGGGTCGCTGCTGATGTACTCCCCCTCGAAGTAGAGCTCCACATCGGCCGGGGTGTACACACACTTCACCGGATGGTCGAACAGATGGCTCTCTGTGGTGAAGTCCAGGTCATAGCAGTCCGCACAGATGTCGAAGTTCGGGCAGCTCAAGCAGCGGTAGCAGCGACCTGAGAACCCCACCTTGCTGCATCCCCGGCATACGACATTGTCGTGGCGACTCATCTTCCTACGTGATGGATGGATCCCCGGATCAGTGCTGGCTGTGGTAGGACACCACAACTTACTCTTCGGGGGCTCCCTTGTATCAACAATGAAAAACGTTCGCTTGCCTTCGAGTGCTTCAAATACAAACTGAGAATTACTGAGACTGACTGATTTCAGGAGGGCTCACCAGAGCATGTGACTCTCGACTCTCGACTATGATATATATTTAAAGGCTGACTTTATAGCAGAATCCGAAGCATATGTACATATGTTTCGATTATTTTTTGCCCAGAAACTCTTGTGCCGAAATGGCAGTCAAAAATTAGGCCTGACAATCCCTTCGTAGGCGCTTTTGATTCTTCTTTAAAGGGAGCTCCAAACTGTTATCAATAAATTTATGTGGGATGATTTTGATATTCCGATCACGGAATTCTCTCTCTTTCTTGATTTATCACTTTCGTTCTAAGCTTCGCTAGCCTACGGCACGGACATAATTCCCCGCCTCGGCCGTTTCAATTTATCGTAAATTATTCTTTAACTGACTCTTCGTAAACATATGTAGGTTATATCTCGAACCTTTTGTTATTAATAAACAAAAAATAAACTGTACATCTGTGTACATATATTAAAACCAAAAACTCGCCTTATTAATTATTTTACGGAAAAGCTAGTAAAAAAAACGGATACCTTACTAGCTGAATAACCGTTATTAAACTAAAGGCTAAACATTCTTCACTGCATTTGAAAGTCACTGGTTTCTGTGTGTTTAATCATCCAAAGTTTCGCAGGCCAGATGCTTCAATCTTAGCCTGCCCAAGGCCCCTGCCATGACACGAAAATAGTTTTTAATTGAGTTACAACCCAGCCAGAAGGGCCAGCCTGTCCCGAATCTAACTACATTTCGCTGCCATGTACTTTTATATTTTTTTTACTGGTGAAAAAAACTTTTCTGTTCCACACAATTTGTGAAATTGTCGGAGAGGAGTTGGCACTGGGGTCAGCGTGGGTCAAGTGACGTCAAGGTGCAAATGGGGCAGGATGGGGAGTGCTGGACAGAGTGAGAAAGAGAGAGAGAGGGTGAGGCACACAAATTGCTTGTGGCAAGTAACAAATGAAGTTGGTCGGACTACTACTACAACTATTACGTCTCAAATTAATACACAACTTTGTTGTCGTCTGTGGAATTGGATAAGTTCTTGCGGGTTGGGGTCCAATTTGTTGAAGGAACTTGCACCAAGCATTGTCAAGAAGCAAAGGTGGTAAATAAGACAAAGTTTGTCCATAGCTGATGCAGAAGATTACGGAAGTTTGTCCCATGATGTGCAGCTATCTTTGGAAAGAATTCCGAGTGCACATTTCACATTTTATCAGACCGTAACAAGAGGAGCATCTTCATGCCCTCTATCGGCGCAGAACCTCTGAGCAACAGAGTTGGTCACAGTAAATGTATTTTCATTCCTCGCCTCTGGGCAAGACTCCACCATTCAGCGCTGGAGCCGCACGGGAAAATTCTATAAATATCAAATCTCCAACCTAAAGTCGCAGACTTCCATCTAACCAACCAAAAAATAACAAAATTCAGAGCACAAATCAAAAATAAACAAAATGCGACAAGTTGAGAGCTAGGGCCAAGAGGGACTCCGACTCCGACTCCTCTTTAAACTCCTCGAACTACAAATTTTCCCCTAAGGAACTCACTTTTATCCCAACATGTAGAAGATTTTCCCCTCCCGTCACAGAAACTGAGCATTTCAATGCCTGAACATGGAAAACAATAAGGAAAAGTGCTCCGTCTGAGTAGGCATACTCGGACTCGAATGCATGGAGAGGGAAAATACGTAAAAGAAAATGAAATGTTTTATTTTACATTTGCAGATGCACATGGCAGGGGGAACCATCCAGGTTGGGAGCTTTCTGTTCCCATTCCCACTCACAGATTTCTTTCCGCAGACGCTGAAAAATGGAGGACGCTCTGAAGGCTCTTAGAAGATGCTCCTTGCTTATCGGTTAGCTCAAGGAGGAGCTCAAAGGGGGTATATATGTATGTACATTGTACATATATGCATACTTCTCGTTGGGAGCTGTGCCAAAAGCGTTTGATGTGTGACAGACCTGCTGGATGGGGTCTAGAGAGCGGGAGTGGGACTGGGAGTTGGGTTTGTGCTCTTCCGGGCTGGCGCCAGGCATTCTGCTCTGCTTTCACATAATTTGTTTTGGGGCAAAGATGCTGCTGATGCTGACTCGGATTGGAATTGAGTGAAAAGTAGTTGGCAATCAGGAAACGGAAATTGCAGGAACTGGGTCATCAAAGTTACATTGAACTCGAGCAAGAGCTCGGGGCATTCAATTTGAAAGCCTGTAAAGCCTCAAACATCCTTCAATATTCCCCTTATAAACTAAAGGACTTTTGCTACAAAGTATTTGTGGTTCCTAGTTAATATAGGGGACTTATTAAAGTAAACAAGATTTTAGACCTTAGCTTATGGAACCAATTTCAATCTAGACATTTCTAGGTACAATTTATAATTGAAGAGTCTGAACATGATTATATCTGGTGGAATTTTCAAAACGGAACGGGCACGAACACGATCATAAATATTACTCTCAATGGGTCGGAATGTAGTACAGCCTTATCAGAATAATACGAGGCTGGAAAACCGCTTAGTAAACCTTGATGGGGCTGCTCTAATCGCTCCTTGAATTGTAAGAATGTTTTTTCGAGTATATTTAATCAGCGCAGAAGTAGATCTCTTGAATTACAATACTTATTAGACAGGTCAGGGTTGGAGTTTTGTGCACTAAATCGTAGGGAATAGGTAAGACTTTTATGGTGATCTCATTGATGCTGTCATAGGTTTATAGCCTGATAGCCTGATATGCTTCAAAGGTATCCAAAATATTAGATTATAAGAGCTAAAAATTACTATCAACACAGATTAATTTCCACACCTCCTGATAAGTCTATAATATCAGACATGGCCTGATATCTGCGGGCATGAAGCTCGTAGTAGCCAAATGTTTTATGACTCCCTCGCTACACTGGGGAACAAGTGTGTTATGCTACTCGTATCTCTCTCTGCGAGGGTAAGCCATTGTGCAACGTCATGGAAATCAAAAGTGAATACCCAGAAATGCCCACAGATAAGCAGGCGGTTGGTGGAGTGCCTAAAGAACAGAATTTCGCCTCTGAATGTTGATATTTAGAAGTACAAAGTGTTTCTCCAATATGAGCTTTTATGGCCATCCATCTGAGAACCTTTTTCAGTCGGGGAGTGACGAGGGGTATTGTTTGGTAAAGAAATTAGCTACGAGTAAGCACTTGAAGAGCGAAATGCTTAAATAATAAAATATTTATTTTCAAAGCAGGTAGTGGAGTAGTGTCGATATATTCACATGACTTCTGTGCGGCATATACGAGTATTGTTTATACTAAAAATAGGCGATACATTTCTGTTGTTAGGGGATTATTGGGTCTATCAATCAGCAGCCCCACAGGCACCTATCAATATTAACTGATAAGCCAGCTGTTGGCATATTTGGAGATTATAAAATAAAATACCTATGCATGAGCATAGGCAGGGGCACAATCAATTCGAGTTCCCCGAACACGTCACACAAGTGATTGCACTGCCTTAGTCACAAGCCAAATCGGTTGTGTAATTTTTGAATACCTTTCCGAACTCCGTGAATCATGTACATACATACTTTGCTAAACGACGACCCATATTTATAGGAAGATGAGTTCATGGCACTCTGTTCAGTATGGAATAGTTTGTTAGGTCAGTTAGTGCTGTGATTACCGGCAAAAACAATATGCTGGGTATGCTGAAGAAACTTCTGTCAACCCTATCACGCTCTCTGTGAAAAGGCAGCTCAAAAAGTTAACTCTTATGGGTGTGCGGGTTGGTTCTTTTTTGTTTGTTCATGGCTCCGAAAATGTGGCTAGGACACGCAAACAGGACGCCCAACTTGGCGCCAATGCGGGCAGACAGAAGGTGGGGAGGTTTGGAGGCTAACGCCAACATTGGTTACATTGTGGCGCCAAACTACGATGCGGGACCTTTTCCCCAAGATACACCGAGTGGGGTATGGCCTACAGTCCAACGGATTGGTAATGGTACGAGCTGTAGCCATTCATAATTATTTGATATTCAAAGATGAAGTATGTATATGTATGAGGAGTGCTCGAAAAGCAGTCTAAACAAGATGATTCCCTTTGGATTAAGAGATGATCCACTTTGTAGCTTTTGCTAGGATTTTATTTGTCTATGAACCTCCCCCCTGGACTCCAATATGGAATTCCCTTTTCATTATCTTTAGAAACATAAGCTCCATCTATCCCCACACCCGCCACATCAGTCCCTTGCGTGCTGGTCTCCTCTTAGCCTGTCCTGCTGCCGCTTTTAATGTCATTAAGCTGGCAACGGGGCCGACCGGCCACAATGGAATCCAATTTACGAGTCGAGCCTACTGTGTATCTGTGTGTTGGCCAGGTCCTGGCGCTATATTTGGCACGCACAGGCCCGCGGTAGAGGGAGCTGCCCTGCTCGGTGTCACTCCTGTTGGGTTATTCTTGGGACCGGTTATTGATTTCGAATTATTGTGCCTCCATTAATTATGTATGAACGTGTCTCTCCACCCCTTCCTCTACTCATCCACCACCCACCATCATCAGCATCACAATCAGAATCCGATAAAAGTGTACACATATATCGCACCTGCAGACAAGGGGCACCATGGGCAGCGTTTGCCGGATGGATGCGCGGACATTCTGGATCCTCCGCTCCGGCCACACATGACCGAACTTCAGCTTTAGGCCGTAGCGCGGCACAGCCGTGATCTCGTTGGGCTCGTCAGCACACGCCTTCTCCTCCTGCTTGAGCTTCTCCTCGAAAACGGCGCTGGCGGAATCGGCGGCGATGCCACCTCCAGCTACATGTCCACCCGCATTTCCATTGCCCAGCGTTTGTGGCGCTGCTTCTGCTGTTCCGCCGGTTGCTGCCATTGCTTGTGACTCGACTAGTACGCCTGCGACAGGTTAGTTCCTCAGTAGCTTTAATTAAGTACCATGCACTGCATATTATGATTAAATTGAATTAGTTGGAGAGCACTCGCGCAACGAAAACACTCAGCTGGGCAGAGAAGATTCTGTTTTAGCTCTGCTCTCTTTATGTACCGCCCTCCCCGTTCGTTGCGCTTTCGTATTTTTTAATTTTGTTTATTTACAAAAACACAACGAAATTGGAAACGCGTGTGCTTCGCTCTGAGCCCGGTGCCGTTCTAGTTAGTCAATGCGATTAAAATTAGTAAAGACTAGTAATCAGTGTGACCGAGGTCCTTCCCATAAAATATACCGGCTGACCCTCAGAAAAATACCAAAAACTACATTATGATGTTCAAAATATACCGTAAATATACCGAAGAAAAAAAGGACTTGGCCAACTTAACCCCCTTTATTTAAACAGTGAAAACTCTTCAATCAAGCCGCGGTAAATAATACTGTTTTGTATATTCTTCTTGTAGATACATACTTCCTCTTTAATTAAAAGCAAATTTTACCGCGAGGTCTTTCACCTGAAATGCGTAACAATTTTTTCAAGTTTCATAATATTCGTGCGTTAATCGATATCCCTCTGGTCGACAATGGGCTAATCGTTGTATGTTCATGATCATATTGACCGATTCTGAAATTCGGTTTCATATTACCAGCCAGCTAGGACTCTCAGCACTGAAAATTTAATTTTATCCAGTAGATAAATTTATTTTGTACACGACCGGTTACGACCGGACCATAAAACGTAAGTGGGAATGAAATGTAATGTAGTGGGGATGGAACGTTACGTCATTTGACCACTTGTTGTTAGTTATACGGTAGTATGTGGTGCGTTCATATACCCTATTTCCTTTAATTAATGCTATAATTCCGTTTTCAAAGCTGCTTCTAAACATTAATAATGACTTTATCTTAGACTGACATGTTTTTAACCTATTCATATTTTTCTGTATATATTTCTCGCACATATTCTCGGTATTTGAAACTGAAATATTTCGTTGAGACAGTTTAAAAACAAATAGTGACTAGTTTCTGCATTGATTGGAGCCTGAGATTACAAACATTTCCTCAATTCTGAAATATCCTTTTGAGAATGTTATTATTACATTGTACTAATCTTTTATATTTTAATTTCTGATCCAGTTAAAATGTTCAAAACCGGTCATATAATTTTAAAAGCGAACAAAAAATTGGAAAATTCTTCTTTAGATGCTTATAAAATTATTATTTGTTATTATTTTTTTAGTTTTAGCTCTATTAATAAATACATATGTATGTACATATATTAAAACGTAAAACTAATAAAATAAAATTCTGTTGATATTTTTCTCGAGTTTTACTTTCATCACTCTGCAGCAAACAGTCCTTTAGTCCTTTTAGTCCATATAAATAATTTTCTTTACTTAAGAGCATTCTTTCGAATTATTTTTAAATTTAATTTTGAAACTAAAAAAATTTGACAGTTTAAATTCATCTCATTCCATAAGCCCAATTGAAAATTATTTTTTAGATCTTCACAGCAGTATCTTAATACTTAATAATTAATCTTAATCCTTATAACTACATACATAGGTACTATATTCCATTTTGTATACATTTAAGCTGGCATTCAAAGTTCCTTTTAGGCATCATTTGTCCTAAGGTTAATTAAATTAAAATTGACTAGTATACCCTGCGTACTCCTAGTATTCTCAACTGTATTGTTGCTTTCTTACCTATGCAAAATTTTACATTTATTTTGCAAAACTGTAGTCTTATTATACTTAAGCCAAAACGCATATAAAGTAATTAAATTATGAAGTATTTGTGATTGCGATTGTCAAGGCGCGTTTGGTTCGTTTCTTTTCGCTTGCTTGTTTTTGGCTTTTGCTTCTTCCGATGCTTCCGCATGCTTGGAGAAAATTTCGGTCAGCTTTTGGATCAGTGCCTTTTGGCTTACAGGACTAAAACTGCCAACGGCATGGGCCCAGTTCTTGAGAACCAAAGCTGGCTTGCTGTTGCTCATGGTGATTTCAGACATAAAGCGTTTCGGCAAAAGCGTTTGGTTGAGTTGCTGGGACGTCCGCACCAACTGCTGATCGGCATCGATAGTCAGCTTCACCTGCTTGTAGATTTCGTTCATGTGGCGATAATAGTTTTGCCCCATTTGGCACTGGCTAGATGGATCAGCGATTTTCAGGATGAGTGACTGACGCAGGGCGTACTGCAAGCTCAAGCGACAATCAGTCACTGCGGGGCATAGCACAATAGTTTGATTATTTGGAGTATCAAGGGATTCAATTGTGTTTACACACCTGTGGCATTCAGCTCCACCCAGGCGGAGCGCTTTTCGACGGAGGAGACAGAAGCGTAGGTGTTGGGAAACCGTCGTAGAATTTTGGTCACCTCGAAGGCAGGTATAATGGGCAGGTGTTGCTCCGTTGTGCAAGTCAATTTTGGACAGTTCTGGACTGCACTGGTCGGGCACTGCTGCTGGTGACAAGTACCAAGAAGAGTGGCAGGTGGAGCCGCGGCCGCACTCGGAAGTGGAGCAGGAGCGGTGGGTAGGACTATGTCGGCTCTCAGTTTCCCGTCAGCAGACGCTTGGCCTCCTCAGTGTCCCAGGGCAATGGCTCGCTATCTATGCGGACCTGGTTGCCCCACGCATTGGACTTTTGAGTCTTATCGGCGGTATGGCGAGTCATCATCGTCACGAAAATACTGCATCGCTGCACTTCCTCTCTGATCTTGGTGTGGACTATGTAGTAGTATGGCTCCAGCGGATGATAGCGCACATTCACAAGGAATCTGAGCTTTTCCAAGGCCAACCACCAAAGGCGCGGCCACGGATTCTCAATGCCCATCTCCAGATCGTCCATGTACGTTTGAAAAATCATCTTAAACGTGTACCAAACTTCCTGATGATCAACTGGAAGGCACACACCGCAAACAGGGTATTTTATATGGGGGAACGGAAAACCAACTTACCATCAGGAAACCTTATTTTGGCCAACCGCCACACGACGTCGCGCTCCTCTTGGGTGTACGTACGTGGCGGTTGAAAAATCTCACCGGGACGCGGCCTTCGCATGTCGCAGTACAGATGCTCGTGCATGCGGAAATGGCTCATGAGTAGGGGCAGCTGATCCCTGATACGAATCCACTTATTTTTGCCGGCAACCTTTTCCAATTTTTCCATCAACAGGCCATCGGACTTTACCCACTTGGTGGAGCCTCTGCAGGGACCCACCATGACTGAAAGTTATTGAGATCGGATTTCAGGCGAGAGTGAAATGAAATGTGCTTATACTGGACACAGAGTTTAATATAATCCGCATACATGAGTACTGGAGAGTTTGTTAATACTGAAGGCAGATCATTAATAAAGAGTGTGAATAGTAGGGGGCCTAGATGGCTGCCCTGTGGTACTCCAGAAGTAACTTTAACAGGTGAAGAGAAGGAGTTTTTGAAGAGGACTCTTTGAGACCTAGAACGAAGGTAGCTAGAAATCCATCTCAAAAGAATAGGCGGAAACCCTAAAAGGTCAAGTTTTTGTGCTAGAAGGGAATGGTTTATAGAGTCGAATGCTTTACTGAAATCGGTGTAAATAACATCCGTCTGCAAGTTACCTTGGAAGCCTTTAATGATGAAAGAAGTGAACTTTAATAAATTTGTTTCCTTCCAGATCGGGGGGAAGCTTGAAGAGTCAATGGATAGGGTGAATAGTCTAAGCAGGGCTCCACACAGAGCGTCGGCACAGTACATGAGTACACAGCCGGAAACTCCGTCAGGACCGCCTGAAAACACCAGCTTAACTTGTCGAAGATCATAAAGCAGAAACCTACCAAATATCTCTTGGTCTCCTTCTGTAGACTCTAAATTGAGGTTCCCATCTGCTCATCGTGATTTTGTGGATTCATTGTCGGATACATCGTTGGGTCAGCTTAAGGCTAAGATTTGTATACATTTAAATTGTTCTTTCATTTGTTCAATTGCACATTGTTTAAGCTTAAGCAATAAACAACAACAAAAATGTACATACGAACCTGGAAATTATATCGCCTGCCTGCAGGTATGCATTGCATTTTAGGGCAGTGCTATGGAAAGAAACATGATACGTATATATGTACGTACATAGGTCCTCAAAAACAGAATAATCAGACCACAAATCCTTTCTGAAATCTTCGAGTTCGGGTATGAAGATACCCCAAATTGTAAATAAAATATACATATAAATGTTTGAATGAACACATAGTAATAAGAAGCTTTATTTGGAATGGTGTAGGCGTAGTAGGCATGGTACTCCTACTCGTATTCGTTATATCATCGACTTAATGTACTTGGGGCACAAGCATTTCTTCTTCATCTTGGCGGGGACTGGCTTCGGTGCAGCGGGTTCCTCCGTTTCCTCGATGTGCTCATGGTAGTGTTCGGGATTGGCCTTCTCGCTGCACTTGACGGCCATGAACTCGAAGAAGTCAATGTTGCGAACATGGTAGTAGAACTGGTCCTTGAACTGGAAGTAATTTGGATACACCTTGTGCTTCAGCATGGCCATGTAGAGGGTCAGGCGCTGCTGCTCTGAGAAGTTGCGTCGCTGCTGCTCCTGGTGATGGTTGCGCCAGCTGCGTTTGCTGATCTCCTGCTGCACCAATTGCCGCAGACGCGGATGCAGATGGAACAGAACCGACCTGAAAATAATGCTTTCAATAAAAAATGTACACCGAAATGTCTGCTCTCCAGCGCTCACTCGTTGAAGCGATGCCGCAGCTTTCTGAACTTGATCCGGTCAAAGGGATTGATGAAGTGATGTATCTGATCCGTGTTGGCCAGCTGTGCGGGTATCTCCACAAAGATCCTAAATGAACGTATTCGTATTAGAAACAATTCCATGCTCTGCTCGATACGTACTTGGCATTGAGAACCATGGGAAATTCCACGGGTTGGGGCACGCGCTTATAGAGTGGAAAACGTGGAAATTTAGCCATATCGCTGTCATAAAAATCCAACTGGTTTTTCATACGTTTGTTCACCGACATTAGCTCATTCACATCGATGAAGTAGTTGCCCGCACAGAAGTTGTACTTGCCCAGGGGGGGAATCGATTTGACCAGCTCAAAGCCTGCAAAAGAGCTCCTCAGTAGTGGATACTGATCCTCACCATCGATCAGTTTACATACCCTTCCTTTTACACTCTGGCGAGCTGGATTCCAGGAAGTATACAGTCCTCCACTTGGGACAGAAGCAGTTGATGAACCTTGTTAGTATTTCGACCCAAGTGCGAAACGTGGTCGACAGATTTTTGTCAAAGTCCACCTGCAGCGTTACATCCTCACTGAACGAAATATTGTGGAACGTGAATTGGTCGAGCACTCTACGGTAAGCACTTACCGCACGATCAGGGCATTCTCGTCGCAGCCAAACTTACGCAATCGAGTCGTGAGAACGGCCTGCTTCTCGTTGACAGTTATGCTCAGGTTGATGCCTTCGATATCCACCATGGGGGTTTCGAAAGGCGGCGGCGGCGGACGCGGCGGTGATGCCAACGACCCCTCCGCACTGATGGGAGCCAGATTTCTGCCCTTCACCCACTCATCTGCATCTGCCTCGGAGGATTGTCTTGCTTCAAAGGCAGACAATTGGTTTTCTGCATTCTCATCCACAAGGGTAGACACCCTTTTCGCTTCAGGTGGATTCAGCTCTTCGTCCGGCGGCCCCTCCTTGTACAACCGAACCTTGAGGTTGTCCGACATATAGAGCTCTGTCTCGATCTTCAGATCCACGTCCGTGATGTGTGTGAAGGTGAAGTGGATGCCGGCATAGAGATGGTGCTGAATGAAGTAACTATCCGGAGTGAAGGTTATGAAGCTCATGTCGTGGATGAAGAATTCCTCTCCCTCCTCCTCTACAAGATAGTCACTCATACTCTTTGGCTTTCGCACCTCTGTTTCCATGCCCACAGCGCTGGTCAGAGAGCTCTGCGATAGCTGACCAGATGGTTCGAAAGGCGTACCCTCCGGAGCATTGATATACAGGGTGGCGGGCTATAGAAACAGAAGTAGAAACAACACAGAAACCTTCATGGATGGATACACCTACCGTCTGGGAGAGTCTACTCTGCACTACTGGGCGATGCGAGCTACTGGAACTTATCTCGGCATCGATCTCGTCCACCATTACGCCCGGGTCCCAGCCCTCAAGGGTGCCAGTCCTGATGATCGTGCCGTCGCTGTGGTAGCATCTCGTTTCCGCTATCGTCCATACGGTCTTGACGCCATCATTCCGCAGCGCATACGACTCGTTGGCATAGTAGTCGTGCCATTCGGTGTTCCTGAAGGGCTTCCCGCACCAGATCTTCCCGTCCGTCTGCACGTGCACCACACTGCCCATCGAGGTGGTCAGCTTGAGATGCCTGTAGCTGAGGCTATACAGGCCCATGATGAACTTGAGGTACTTGAGCTCAAAGTCGATGCTGGCGAACAGAGCTGTCGCCTGCTTGGTCTTGGCCAGTTTCTGCTTGCGCGCTGCGGAGGATCCCTTGGAGGTGTTGCTTTGCATTGAGGAACGGGGGTTGGTGTCGGCGCCGCCCGACGAGCGACTAATCAGCGAAGAGATTCCATCGCGAGCTTTCTTCTTCTTGGGTGCGCTGGAAAGCGGATGGTAGCTGCTGAAGGTGGACTGGGTGGAGCAGGCGTTGATGAACTCCGAAACGCCTTCCTCCTCCTCGACCTCCGCTTCGGTGTGGCTGAACAGGCGATAAACCTCTCCGTTGTACCGCATTATCAGCACTGTGGAGCTGTTGTTGTAGAAGACAATGACGCAGCCGTAGGGGGTACAGATTCGCCGGCTCTCGTCCAGCTCGTTCTCCTGAATGGACCACTGGTGCTCGGCATGCGTGTCATGGCAGTAGGTGCTCAGTCCGTTTGGGTAGTTGACCACAGCCTTGGCACACTCCGCCTCCGAGAGCAGCACCCTGAGGCTGATTCCGTTCTTCGTCTCAACGCGGATATTTGCATCCGTGGCACCCACAACGCTGGCAGCGTCCCTGAAGTGCACATGCTGGCCGTCGAGGTCCAGCGAGAGGCACTTGTTCATCTGCCGGAAATTCCACTTTTCCTCGTACAGCGTGACCCGACCCTCCTCGAAGAAGTACTTGGAGGTCTTGGACTTGATCTTCTGCTGTGTGTCGTCCAGGTTGTATCCCTTGAGCATGGGATGATTGGGTCCCAGTCCAATGAAGGGCGCCTCTGGTTGCTCGTTCCCCGTCACATTGATCTTCGCGTGCAGTTGCGAGGAACCGTAGCGCAGAAGACTAGTCTTTGAGGCGAGCCGCAGACTCTTGTTTGTGCTCCTCGCACTTTCTGCATTAGCTGCGGTCGCTGGAGCCTGCTCCTCCTTGTCGTTGGCCATTTTCTGTGCCTTCAGGGACTTGGGCCGAACGAAGAGTTTTGGATCGATGGTGAGACGCTGACCCTCCTTGCACCTAATGGTCATGGGCTCCTGCTCCATGCCGTGCATGGTGGCAATGCTGTGGGCCATAACCAAATTCTCGTTTTGCTCCATGGCCTCATCGAACATCTGGGGGGTCACCAGGTCCTTCAGGAACTGCTCCATCTCAAAGAGGGTGAAGTCCCTGAAGCACAGGCGCGTGGGGAGCACAGTCTGCTTCTGCTGCTCGAAGACCTCGTTGAGAGCCCGCCGGAAGGTGTAGAGCTTCACACTGGGGAAGACTTCGTCCACGGTGAAGTCGTCGTAGTCGTTGACCAGCTCTATGACGCGCTGCGTCACCGCATCGTCCGTGAGGTAGAGCTGGGCATACTTCGGCAGGAAGATGGGCTCCAACTCCCCGTTGTAGGGGCAGTACGGAAGGGATTCGGTGATGTAGCCAGTGGTGAAGTAGCGTCGCATCAGGTTGTACTCCAGACAGCCGTGGTAGACATTGCTCATCAACGACTGATCCATGTAGGAGAGCATGCTGCTCAGCAGAGAATTGCCCTGCTCCACGAACAGTCGCTCGTTCTTGGACAGCTTCACAATGCTCTTGAAGGCGTTCGCATAGACCTTGACCTTGTCAAGCATCCGTGTCTGCGCCGCAGAGGTGGGGTTTGCCAGCAGAAGGACCTCCACCTCGGTCATCAGCTCCCGGGGATGGCCGAATATGCTCATTAGGGACTCAACGTACAGGTAGATGGACCCAACGTCAGACCTGGCTGCTGGCATCTGGGCCTTCAGGTAGTGCCCCTGAATGCTGAGCGACTCGGCCATGTGGAAGCTGTCCTGCATGCTGGCGTCCGGGCTCATCTTCACATTGGTCTCCTGGTAGGGCGCTAGGTAGTACGATATGTACTGCTCCCTCAGCGTCTCCACATCGTACACGAACCAGCTCAGCTGATTGAAGATATCGTCGGTGAATTTCGTGGCCAGGCAGGCGGACATCTGTGGCAGCTTCTGTTGGAATATGCCCACGGACTTGGTGGCCGTTCTCTTGCGCAGCGAGTGAATGTCCGTCTGGATGTTGGCAATGGTTTCCTGCAGATACCTCTCACGTCGCGGACGCGGCACCAGCAAATCGTACGCGCACTCCTCGGGCAGGAAGTGAATTATTGCTCGAAGTGGCTGATGGTTGGCCAGCAGAGTCTTGTAGAAATCATTGTCCAAGTTGCCAATGACCAGGATCATTATCTTCGTCGTCAGAGGGTTATCCTTGATGTACTACAGAGCAGAGCAGAGTAGGGCAGGAATTAAGAAGAAAGCTTGGGATCCACAGCATCCCTCTACCATTCGGCTTTACTTACAATGCGCTTGGACAGCGGCTGCCCCTTGCCAACTTTGTGGTGGTCCTTGGCCGTCAGAGACACGCACTCAAGTTTTTCCATTTTCGGGCTTTCGCCAGATCCCTTGTCGGTCTTGGATTTGGCTGTCTTCACGGAGGTAGTGGCGGTGGTGCGCATGGTGTCCAGTCCATTCTTCGGCTTGCGTGCCTTCTTGGGCTCCTTCGAAATATTCTTCAGCTCGGCCGGATAGTTCTTTTGCCAATACTCGTAGAGATCGAAGTTCAGCTCCTTCTCGATATTCCTGCTGATACTATCGTACTCGGCCACACTCTCCCGGATTCGTTGCAGGGTAATGGTGAGGGGATCCGTGGACTTTAGTTCATTTGCCACTACTGCAAATTTGTGGTGAGTGTCGGGCCTGCTGATGGTGCACTTACGTATTCACTTACCCGACCTCTTGGCATAGGCCTTTGACATACGCAGATCGTTCTGCTGCATGGCCAGCTGCACCTCGCTCTCCACATCTATAACGAAAAGGGGTCGACGCAGACCGCACTTGATTCGGCTTATAAACTCGTCCCGAAGCGCATTCAGCCCATTGTCGTAGAAGTTAATGCAGTAGATGTGATACGAGCTATCAGTCAGTGTGGATTGCCTGTTGCCTCGTCTGTTGCTCCTATCCGTGTTCATTGTGTGAAGTACTACAGAATATGTCTGAGTATGTGCTACGATTTACAGACTGTTGATAAAATATAATTAATGATCCAGACATGCGACACAAATCTCCCAGGGGAGCTTTTAAAATTTCCAGAGCCAACTAAAATGTACGAAGCCATAAAAGGTTTAATGGTTTTTGGAGCTGTGAAACTTTCACTCTCTTGCACTGCTTAATATCAAAAGGCAGCACAAGAATCAAATTACATCCCCACAGAGGATCCGAAATCCCAAATCCGGCGTTGATCTCTTTCTCTGGAAGCCAATCGATCTACATGTATGTAAATACCAACATTAAATGCCATTATTTTTATTTTCCATCGAACATGTAAAACCAACGACGCATTTTATATTGATTTAATAAATGATTTTTTATTTAATTTATACCTATGTATGCATATGTGTATGTAGATGCCAATGGTAAGTACTACGTGTAAGTGTTATGATGCTTAATAGGTAAATGGCCGCTTCTATGTACAAATGAAAGTCCTATAACCTAATGCTACTTAGTGGTAGGTATCTCGTGGTGGACTGTACAAACAGGAGATTCGGTTAAGTCGAATGAAAAGAAATACAAACTTAAAGCCTCTTTAAAACATAAAATAAATAAATGAGAATGGGAACTTGAACTGGGATAAATAAGCGAAATAAATAGAAGTCAGATTGCGGATTTGAAAATGCAGACACTGGCAATGATGGTTCCAAGTTAGTTGAGTTGAGATATGTATATCCGAAGCTAATCCTAGGCTAGGCTAACTTATATGGCAGTGATAGGCTATAAAACTCGTTATTGATCACAATACATTTGGAAAAAGTTTTGGTGTGTCGTCAACAGGAACCAGAAACGCCCCGGACGGCGGCCGGACAGTTCTTCAGCTATCATCGCTGGCCACGAGGCACTCGCTGAGCAGCACATTGCGCAGCTCGTCCATATCGATCCAGTCGCGCTTCTCGTTGCGAATGGACACGTTTCGGATGCAGCCCTTGAAGTTCTCCCTCGACAGCAGCGAGCCGCTGGGAGCCTCATCTGAAAGGTGAGAGGTGTCAGTATTATTGTTTGATTTCCGCCAAAAAGTAGATGTCTTTTCCTATACCTGGCAGCCCGCCTATGTAGAGGGGAGAACGGGTTTGCACCTTGCCCGCGTTCCGTGGGTTTCCGGCACTGATGACGGCTGGCAGCTGATCGATTCGAAGGATAATCTGCTCGCCATCGTAGAGGCCCGAAATGTTATGCCACTTGTTGTCGCACAGGGCATACTTTCCAGGCAACGCCGCCTCCAGACGCAGCGGCATTCCATCTCCCAGGTCGCAGGAGAAAACGATCTGCCAAACGACAAAGACAATTAGATGCAATCACAGATCGCATTTGCATTCCTCTTACATTGCCGTTGTGCAGCTCCAACGATAGGGCTGGGAATCCACTCGGCTCGGACACACTCAGCAATATTCCCGACAGTTCCGAGGTTCGAAATTCCGTTTCCAGGTCCAGGTATTTACCCACATGAAAGTTTTTCTCTGTAAACATAACAAAAAACATTCGTTGGGTCACCAGGATCTTTGATTGCAGCACAGTAGGTGTCGGTGTCTCACTGTATATGGCATAGGCATCGCCGGGGAAGTAGCTGCCCCTTTCGACGGTGGGAAAGCACTGCCCCACATTGGAGTGCTTGCCGGGACGTGCCAGGTCCTGGGTGCTATTGTTGATGGTTACTCGTCGCAGGCAGCCCTTGAAATGGTCCAGGCGCATGTAGAGCTCCGATGCCACCTTGACTGGGGCCTGGGGCAGGCCGCCGACCAGCAGCAGCTGCGAGGCCCCGATCTTCTTGGGCAGCTTCATTTGGGCGGAGGTCTTCTGGTCCGTTCGGCCTATCTCCACCGACATGGTGACCTTGCGCTCATGGCAGCTGACAGTCACCCGATGCCACTCGCCGTCGTTGAGCTTCGCGGTCAGCTGGAGCTCCTCGCGACGACGACCCCGCACGACCAGGACCAGCTGTCCATCTTTGAGCAGGAGCACAACGTAGTGCTTGGGCTTCTCCTTGCTGCCGGGGGACAGGAAGAGCATGCCGTTAGGGTAGAAGGAGCGGAAGTCGAAGCTCAGGCGGAAGTTGCGCTGCCAGAAGTGGCGCTCGGGCAGCTTCAGCTGCGAGTAGCTGTAGAACTCGTCCCCGAACTTGAAGGCATTCGGCTCGTAGGAGTAGCTGCCGATCTGCAAGAAAGAGCCCCCGATTAGTCCCAGGTCCTGCTTGATCTATCGAGGAACTCAACTCACCCCGACGACTTTGTGTTAGTTTCTGAGCTCAAAGCGTAGCGATCTCCCAGAGAGAACACTCGGTGAGATTTTGGGTTAAGAATAAAAACTTTGCCATGATATTTGTTCGGTTTCGTTGTTGTTTTTGTTGTTATAAAAAATGTTTTATTTGAAACGTGATTTAAAAAAGAGATGTGATAACAATCAAATGTCCGTGTTGTGGTCGCGCAGTGGGTAAGCAACTCAAATGTTAATTGTATGATACATTTATGAAAGCAAAAACGTACACAAAGCGTTGATATGAGTGGTGCGGATCTTAGCGACTAGACCGAGCTTCGGAGCCGTACTTAACTCGTATGAAATATATTTACAAAAACTATATATGTATGTACTAGATGTATGTCGTATAAAAGATGATTATTAACTACGATTATGGCGCTTCTTTTTCTCGCCTTTATTTTGTGTGTTAGCCCAGCAGCTTGAACCAATCTTCTTCCGTACTTAAAGCTAGCCCAGTTGTCCCACCAGAATCAGAATCATGATGATGATCATGATCATGATCAGGTGGGACAACTTCCTCGCCTGCGACTGAGGTTATAGTGATAGTATGCATGTAACTTTGATGATGATTGGTTATATTAATCATTAATCCACATAGAGACCACATAGAGTAGCTTTGTTTTGGTTAGCTTTTTGTTTTGGTTTTTGTTTTTTGTGGGTGTGTGTGTGTTTGTGTGTGTGTGTTTAGGCGAAATTAGTATACAAATGAGCTTTCTTGAAGCGCAGCGCTTGATGCTTTTAGCGTAGCAGCTTTTGACATAATTGCTTAGCAACTAAAATCCTATAAGAACAAAGAGAAACGTTTCAGTTTAAGATAGAGTTAGGCAGCCACGAAATGTACATGCAGTGTCGCGGATGGACCAGTCTCAGTCCCATCCGAATAGTCTCTCCAATCTCCTTCCCCATTGCCCATACCAAGCCAAACAAATAGAGGAATCAGCCTTAGCAACTCACCCGCTTGCAACCCTCCGGCGAGGCCGTGAAACTCTTGCCGATCATCGGTTCCGTCTTGAGGAACACATCGTAGAGTCCACCCTTCAGACTGCCCATCAGGGGCCCATTGCGTCCGATCTGGACATTGGAGAAGGTCAGGGCGTCGTTGAAGTTCACGGTCCGGTTGTTGAACACAACGTCCCGAATGGCGCCCTCCAGGTTGACGAAGGTGGGCGCCAGCGGCGTGAAGCTCTCGTGCGACGGAGCCCCGCCGATGTAGAGACCTCCCGCCTCCCGGGGCAGACTTATGACCGTTGGGCTGCCGCTCAGGCTGCGCACATCCTGCAGCTCATCGTCCAGCATCAGCTCCAGCTTGCGACCCGTCTTTATCAGGTTGATCACGTGCAGCTCGCCATCGTTCAGCTGACTGATATTCGAGGACATCTTGACAAAGCTGCGCCCGGAGTTGACCCACACGTGCAGCTGGCCATCCACCAGGCTCATTGAGTAGTTGCCCTTGATGTCCTTGTCATCGTAGTCGGCTAGCACCTCGGGCGGGTAGGCGGCCAGGAGCAGGAGACAGTCCGGCTGTAGGGTGCGGAAGACCAGGGCAGTATTCGAGCGCTTCCTGAGCGACTGGGACGGCAGCTCCAGATACCCATTGCCCGAGAATCCAGCCCTGATGGATGGATACCAAATGAATGATTTCAGCAGAGCCGATCTCCTAGAGGTCCGATTTATTACTCACTTTGTGATCATGTCCTTGCAGGAGGGCTCTACGCCAAAGTAGCTGGAGCTCTCGAGGGGATCGTATGTCTCGCCGTTCACCTGCACGTCCGTCATGCAGCCAAGGAAGGGATTATCGGCGCCCGGAGCTTTCGTCGTGCCCGATGTGAAGCCTTTGATTAGACACAAAAGACAGGAACGTTAGGAGGAAGGGTTCCCCAGGGATCAATAGTTTACAGTGCTCACCTGGCGGCACTCCACCCAAGTAATAAACAGCCTTGGACAAATCCGGGAGCAGGTGTGCGTTCACGGGCAGTGTGGGTGCCCCGGAGATGGGGCGATCGTTGTTCACCCGGAGCATCCCGTTCTCTGTGCTGCGCTTGGCCGAGAACTCGCGAGCGGCCTCGATTTTGATCCACTGACCCACATTGTACTTCTTGGTCGTGTTGATCTCCAGCTTAGACTCGTCGCCGTAGTCAATGCGGAACATGATGCGGCCACGGCTCAATGTTACCGACACCGAGCGGTTCTAGGGCCACCGAAAGAAGGGAAAAGATAAGTTAATCAGCATTCAGGGGTGCCATTTGGGGACTTACGTTCTTGTCATCAACCGCCAGGAAGAGCAACGCATTCTCGTCCAGAGTACGGAAGGTCATCTGCACGGAGAACAGGTTCTTGCGATAGGGCCGGGGACGGGTCTTCATTAGCTGGGCATAGCCCAGTCCGTTGAAGTGACGCGCCGTCGATGAGGCGGAGGATTCGCGGGCACCGATCATGGAACCACCGCACCGCCCCTCGCTGTCCACAAAGTTCCACAGTCCTAGGGGCTTGTTGTCCACCTCCACCTGGTGCACGACCACACTGAGGCCGGGCGTCAGCTGCAAGTCCCTGGAAGCGAAGCCACCAAGGGATATGCGATCGTTTCGCGACTGATAGAAGCGCGTGTGCTCCGTGTCTGTGGAGCCAGTGATGGTGACCGGATTGCTGGGCGTCAGCACCCCATAGTTGTTCATCCGTCGCACCACCAGGCTGCCCAGATTGAGCGTCCGATTGGCCTCCACGTGGTACCAGGCATCGTCGTACTTGGGGTCCC